GATTAACGTCCGTGGCTCGGTTGTATTTAGTAAAGCGGAAAATACAAATCGGGAAAACTACATAAAATCTGGTTAAAGTCCCTATAAAAAAGACAAGAACAAGTCAACAGTGAGGCTGATGTCCCCCGCCGAAATCCCCAAATAAATAGATGTCACGTCATATTAACTAATCGCACATCTACTCTTTTCAAAAGTATTGAGCAATCAAACTGATTATCAACTATACACTAAGTTCCATCACTCTCTATCAGATAGAATCAAAGTTGTCTTGTCCCAAAGCATCGACCAAGGAAATAGCTTATCTCTGCTTAGCTTTAGCTCGATATGTTAATCATTGAACTCAGTCAAGACGAACATCTACATTAAGTTTAAACATTCTAACTAAATTAGAAGCAGAGTTTTTATGTTCCAAAGTCTTGACCAATCAAAATGCTTATTGCTCCTTAGCCTAACCAGACAATTCTCATCATCGAACTTAGTCAAGATATTGATGTAATGAAACTATACACTAAGTTTCATCACTCTCACTTAATTTGAACTAAAGTTATCGTGTCCCAAAGCATCAACCAATCAAAGTGCTTATCTCTACTTACCATAAGCAGAAAATGCTCAACTTCGCACTCTATCAAGGCATTGACGTCATAAACACCTACACCAAGTTTGAACATTTTAGCTCAATTAGAAGGAGAGTTATTGTGTTCCAAAGTCTCGGCCAATCAAATTGCTTATCGCTCTGCTTACCCTGAGCAGAAAATGCTCATTATTGAACTTAGTCAAGGTATTGATGTAATGAAACTATACACAAAGTTTCATCACTCTCACTTAATATGAACTAAAGTTATCATGTCCCAAAGCATCAACCAATCAAATTACTTATCTCTGCTTACCATAAGCAGAAAATGCTCATCTTCGAATCCCTAATAAACACCTACACCAAGTTTGAACACTCTAGGTCAATTAGAAGGAGAGTTATCGTGTCCTTAAAAGTGTGACGGACAGACAGACGAACGAACCCATTTTAATAGTCCCCTGCTTTCTTCGAAAGGCGGGGAACAAAAAGGAAAAGATAAGAGATGTATAGCTAGGCCGGTTTTAAGAAGTTGGCCTTACTACTCGTAGCACTAATATACATAAACAAATCTATAGGGTTTTGGCTTAGGTACTGCTGCATAAATGGTTTTAAAAAAAGATAGCCGAGATTCATCTTTTCCAGGTTTAGGTATCAGTCTAATTATTCATTGTCTTTGCGACGGTGAAAGGGTTCCTGTTTCTAAACTGTAATTACGGGAGTTTAAAACTTAGTTTTTAATCTATGGAAGACAAAACAGCTCTTTATTCAGTTTTTTTGTAATTTTTAGTCCTTAATTCTTATTTCATCCTTTGTTATCGTATTTCGACATTTGTACACAAAAGTAACATTTGTATCTTAAAATCAATATTTGTTTTACAAATCAGACATTTGTCATATCAGATTTGTAAAATGTACTTGTGTTTAATTTAACTGCATTTTAATATAAAGATACAATTTATTCTATTTATTAAAACCTCCCCCCCCCCCCCCCCCGCACGATAAATGTGTTGGAATCATATCAATTCACAGAGACTGGTAAAATATTCATACTGGTCAATGTCCAAGACAGGGCTATACGTATTGAGAAGTATATAATTTTCATTTTTTATGCTAATTACAACAGCTGTATAATATCCATTTTCATCTACTGTTTTTTGGGTTTTGGTAATATTTTCTCATCACACGTGTTTTGAAGGAGAATAGCCGCGCCAGCACACTGATCAGCAGTGAATATTCGCTAGGCCGCTACAATCACTGATAAGGATGACATCGATACGACTTAATGAGCCAGAAATATTAACTTTCTTCCACCGACAAATTAAATATTCTAAAACATTTCTTTTATGTATTAGAAAAATAAATGAAGACGTTTGAAGTATTTGTAGGTAAAATTATTTCCTGTTTAGTGTAAATGGGTATTTAAATGAGTAAAAGGCAGCATTCTGCCCGATTCAGTAATGGCTTGTAAACAATGCACGCGCCATTGAGCCAATGATTGAGGTCGCGTGATGTGACGTCACGTGTTAAAGGCAGTCATCTTTCACAGAGATATTAGAAGACTTTCGTAATCTTCTGTGAAACAGATGGCCGCGCCAGCTGAATTACTTCCAACGACAACGTCAGAATATTTATGTCTGATTTGTGATCTTTCAACCAAAGAAATAGCTTAGTGCTGTTCCTTGCTAGGCCCCCGTCCGGCATCATAGATCCAGAACTAGAAGGGGAATCCACACAGGAAAATCACCGGGAACTTTCTCAGTCAACACGCAGCACAACTAAAACCTGATTAGCGAGCCAACGACTTCTTATTCAACCCTGGCCCACTTTTAGGATACGAATAGGGTTTGACGCAACGGATTAATAAATCTTTACGATCTGAAATCATCACACAACATAAATCATCTCATATTGATTAGATATGCTGCCAAGCTAAATCGGCCCAGCAGTCGAATTTAATCAATTTCACGGGGCTATACAAGTAACATCTCACTGATGTTTCAACATGTATCAATTTAAAACCAATTGGATTACAAATATGTAGTCTGTACGGACGGACGTATAAAAAAATACACAAGAAAGGCGATTTTCAAGATTTATATTTTTATTTTACTCTATAAAAGATATAATTATTAAATATGGGTGAATTCCATAAGAGGAATGTTCATCAGATTTGAGGCAGGGTCAATATTATCGTATTTCAGTTATAACAAGCCAACAGTGAGGCTGATGTCCCCCGCCGAAATCCCAAAATAAATAGATGACACATTTATCTCTTTCTAAAGTATTGAGCAATCAAACTGATTATCTATACTTAAGTTTGGGCATGAAATGTTCACAATTAAACTCAGTCAAGGTTTTGAAGTACCTGTTAGTGAAACTATACACTAAGTATCATCACTCTCAATCAGTTAGAATCAAATTTATCTGGGAAATGTTAATCATTAAACTCAGTCAAGACATTCACCTAATGAACATCTACATCAAGTTTAACCATTCTACCTCAATTATCAGCAGAGTTATGTTCCAAAATCTTAACCAATGAAATTGCTTATCGCTATTTAGCCTAAGCAGAAAATGCTCATTATCAAACTTAGTCAAGTTAATGAAACAATACACCAGTTTCATCACTCTCACTTAATTAGCACTAAAGTTAATGTGTCGCAAAGCATCAACCAATCAAATTGCTTATCTCTGCTTACCATAGGCAAAAAATGCTCATCTTCGAACTCCATTAAGGCATTCAACTAATAAACACTTACAAAGTTTGAACATTCTTGCTCAATTAGGAGAGTTATTGTGTCCCAAAAAGTGTGATGTACGGACCAGACGGACGGAGAGACCCATTTTAATAGGCCCCTGCTTTCTTCGAAAGGTGGGGGACAATAAGTTATGTACAAACCCAGCAAAAAGTACTTAATAGTCATATGCCACACTGGTATATTTGGGTTCTACTTTATTTAAATTTTAAAGGTTTTAATGGATCCCCCTCATTGATCTAATGCAAAAATAAAATTTTGTATGTCGATTTGATTTTTCTTTAAGTTTGTGGCTATTTAATATAGCCAATAGGAAACTAAAATTAACAAACTAACAGAATTGTTTTTAAGAGAGAGAGAGATGGGGTTTAACGTCCACTGTCATTTTGGGACTAACACGGTTCAATTTTATTTCAATAACTCGCCTGCGTGTAGGGGTCTTTAGCAGTGGAAAGAAACCAGAGGGCCCGGAGACAACCCATGAGGTTGGACAGGCAACCCTACTCCTTGTCACGCAATAGATCAAACCCGCAACCCACTTGCGATAGGCAGATTTAGCTCTTACATATTCCTGTTTAAGTATATCATTCACCCAGATAATTAGGTTCTTTATTATAATTTTATAAGTTACTACAAGATTATATTTGGCTTTTTGTTCTGATTTCAGGTACCCAACGACCATAGCTACTCTTATACCATACAACATGTCATTTATGCACCATTTTTTTGTAATTACATATTATCATGAATTACACAAGGGAACTAGGTATCTTACCCAATAGTTGATTCTTTTAATTAAATGCACCATACAAAAAGTAAAAGTATTAAAATTATTAGAAAAATGCTCAATCATTGTGAACACATACTGGAGATGACATGACGTCATTTTACCATTATGACGACTGAGGTGAGTGACCACATAATATTGGTTAACCCAAAACATTCTAATTGGTTGTGTGGAGTATATAAAAAGTCATTAAAGCTTATAGCTTATCTCACCCAAGCATACATTTAGTTCACTTTCTATACTTCAATGGAACATTCCAAATACCACACTATGGCAACAATATAATAAGCCCTAGATATGAAAATGGTTGAAAGTTAATATTGTTTTATCTTGACTAATGGTGCAGTACTAGAGAAGACTGACAACAAAAGGGAAAAACTTATGATTATCTACCAGAACAAGTAAAGCAATGGCCATATTTTTCATTAAATATTCCAGCAAATATTATGATGAACCAGACAGTTTTTGATAAAATGAACAAAACTAATATCAAATACTGGATTTTTATACTAAAAACTCCAACATTTTCACATAAAATCCACAGAAATAGTTCATTTTGCATTAAGTCCAAACCAATTTCATTTTTCAGGTTTTAAATAACCAATTAAGTTAGTTTTTTGAGCAATGTTTTGTTTAAAATGTTAAAATTATGAACAAGAAGCTTTTGAAAAGAGCAACCAAGTTTTTAAATTAGTTTTTTTCCCCAATAAAATAGGAAGCAACATGTTCGTGAAAACAAAAAATACAAATGGGTATGGCCAGTGCGTATAATGCTTAAGAGGCACCTGCACGTATAATGATTAAGAGGCAACTGCGTGTATAATTATTAAGGGGCACCTGCGTGTATAATTATTAAGGGATTTAGACACTAATCTCAACACAATAATAATAGTAGAAGCTTTTTACATCATGAAAAAATTATATACACAAATAGAATACATACAAATAATCTATACATCCATATTAGTTTTATATGACAATAAATAATTACATTCACAAAATCTTTTAATTCTATTGTACAACCGGTAACGAGATGCCATAAGAACCACAACTATGAAATACATCTGCTGTAAGACTTCTGATACATAAAAGTATACATGTCAACAACTCTCACAATGGTGTGCAGGGGGGTGATGGGGACAAGCCCTGGGGGACATCCAAATCAGAATAACATTAGAATTATTTTTTTTTTTATAAATTTACTATTATCCTTGTTAACTGGTGTAAATGCTGTTCTACTTAATTTAAATGTAAAGTTTATTTTATCAGTTTTTACATATTTAGAATGTCTTCCTTTGTCAAATATTGCTGAATACTAGGACCCCCCAGACCCAACCTATACTCGAGTCTTGGGTTGACCCCCCTGGCATGACACAGTATCTGTACACCACTGGAACCACCATAAATGTATGAAACTTTAGGCGTGTTTACTTTATAAATCTTTGCTAATATAAGGTTTTATAAAGTCACCATCTAGCTACAGAGAAGCAGTCCCCTTCTGAATAGTCTCACTATTCCTATACATTCTCCAATATTAGATGTTAGCCATCACCAATGTGAAATAATTACCTGTAGGTACCACCAATTATTTGTTATTGGGTTAATTTACTCTTTATATCCAGTTATTTACTCATATCTATATAACAAACTTCTTACATTGCCATGGATGCAGAAAATAACAAAAGAAGGGTCTTTTCCAAACAGAGATAACCTTCATTTATATATATTTTTTTTTTATCATCATTACAATTTGAACCTTCTACATATCTTTCTCATTATATAAGCATAAACATCATTTTTTTTTATATAAACAATATTCTATTTTATTCAAAATTGATTGAGGAACAGACTATGTTGTCTCCTCTCTGGGTGTAGATATCATTCCAATAAGAACCTTCCTACAATACCTTTTTAACTATGTAAAAGTATCTATCTTGCCTAAAAAGGCAAAAATCAAATATTGTTTTACTAATATTTCCGTTCTGTTCTTCACAAAAAATGTAAAATATCTCATTTTGGAAACAAGCTTTTCATATAAATTGCACTAAAAAAAACAAAAGCCACAGCCATTTTAAAACGATCTCATATTAAGCTATTAAGTATTAAATATCAAAGTATCAAAATTTTATGCATGTAAGTAAACTTACAGAAAAACATCCATATAAATTATTAAAGATGCATTATGTAAGATTTAGATATAGAGCTGTTCGTTCTTGCTATAGTACCAAAATAGATAATGAAAAATTAATATATTGAAAATTTCATTCAAATTACTTTATTCTGAGCGACATTATAAATGTCTAGTTTGGACTTAGATTGTTTATTATCACAGCAATGTTCTCCATCTTTAAATCAAATGTTCTAGAGAGTTGATTTTAACTTTGTCATGTGAATAACTGTCAGAATTAAAATTTATAAAATATTTGAAGACAAAAAAACCCTGTAATATAGGCAGATTTAGCTCTTACATAATGCATCTTTAAGTTGAACTTTGACCAATCTGTTTCATATACCATGCCTGGAAATAATATAATGACAGACTACTATCTGACATTTTATACTTTTTGCCAGACATGTATTTATAATATCAATAAAAACATGATAAAACCAAGAAATCTGAGCCAGACAAAATGATAGACAAAGCCTGAATTGGTGCCAAATCATGTCTGACAGGTTCCTTATTTCTAGATTTGCCTATAATACATACATGAGTCGTACCTAAAACCAATAAGACTCAAGTCAAAGTAAGTGACACATTTACGATACTATATCGCCCGCATATTAATTAAGCAAAAAAAAAAACAAAAAAAACCCCAGCAATTTGTACATTGCAGATTGTTTAAAACTAAAACTGTACATAGTAACGTATTATCCAAGTATGACTCTCTCGTGTTGACAAACATAATACATCTAGATAAATCATTTAAATAATTAATTGATCTGAACAGGCTCGTGTCTGCTCAGTACTAATTTTCATATTTCTGAGCACGAAAGCATGATATATTTCCATACATACAATAAAACTCTTCAAATTATTCTATTTTTCATTAAAAAAAATTAAGAGCAATAAAAATTCCTTAATCACCATAATCATAATATATCCACCCTAATTTATCATAGATCAGTTGACAATAAATTGATGATTAATAAATATTTCTTAAAATTCAAGATGACTTGATAATTTTTCGAAGTGTAAATTGTGTAAATTGATGTTAGTTAACTGAAGATCACTTAATACAAAGATTTGTTAATTACAAGAATCTGTTGAATGACTAGATCAAACGATATTGACGCAGTTGACCTGTTAGTCTGTTCATCTCGTACTTGACACGTACATATTGTATCGAACCACGGATAAACAGCAAAAACCCTGAAATAAACAGTAATATTTAAACTAAATAAACAATGGGGGGGGGGGGGAGAGAGAGATTTAATGTCCACTTTGGGAAGAACATGGGGCACAATTATATTTCAATAATTTGCTTACACTTAGGGGTCTTTAGCAGTGGGCTGAAACTGGGGGACCCGGAGAAATCCCACGAGGTTGGACAGGCGTACCTACTCCTTGCGATTGGAAATGTGCCACTTGAATAAACCACAGACTTTAGGATATTAAGGGCTCACTTTAGAGCACTCAACTACCTAAAATTGCTGATACAAATCAAACGACTACTTCTGACAGCCGTAAATTATTAGACAGCATGAAAAACTTACCACAGACAACCAATAACCACCATAACCATGAATCACCTCCAGCAAAATCATCAGCCCAATTATTATGCTGAAATATACATATTCTCAATACAATAATTCTTATTGAAATAATTTTAATGTGTAATTTTTATGCTGAAATAAAGACATATTTTCAATAACAGTGTTTTCAAACATATTTAACAAGGTTAAATCAAGCTATAGTTTTCACAATAGCATCAAAGTGATTTGGTTGACACATATTCTATTTCCATGAAAATCAATCAAAGATGACCTACTTGAGCAAGAGAATTATAAAAGGTTCACAATCTCAGAAATTTAACGTCCATGTGGTTAATCATTAAAACACATTCTGAATTGAATGTCATCATGGTTTGTTTCCGAAAATTAGTTGATTTCATTGATTGAATTTGAGGGAGCGACATTGACTCAGTAAGCCATGTTCGATCCCCGTGTTCAAGCTGAGCAAGTTCATCTGGATTTTCTGACATGGTTGCCCCATGTCAGTGCTGCAGGACAAGGGGTCTGGCATGGGACAATGTAGTCATTCGGATTTTCCAATTTGTTTCCACCCATGACAGTGCTGCAGGACAAAGGGTCTGGCATGTGATTTTCCGACGTGGTTCCCCCATGTCAGTGCTGCAGGACAAAAGGGTCTGGCATGGGACAACGTACAGTCATTCGGATGGGACGAAAAACCCAGTCCCATGTACACATTGGCATGCACATAAAACCCTTCCTGCTCTTAGGAAAAAATTTCCCTCATAGATCACTGTATGGCGTATGACCGTCTTCATTAGCCCAGTCGGAGAAAAACAGTAAGACGATAAACCCCATTTCATTTCATTTAACTGAGAAAATATTTCATAGCAGAACAAAAACGGACCAAATTCCTTTACACTTAAAATGACATTGAATAATGAACTCAAAAATAGCTTAAAAAAAACATTCAAATTGTAATATTAGTGTGAATAGTACTATAGTCTTAGCAACTCACTTTGGCAATAGCCACCCATTTTACAATGGAGAGACCTAATCCTGACAATGCACCACATCGGCCTGCTACTGAATTTGATATACACAGAGACAATAAAAAACCAACCCAGTTAAACAAAAATGCCACTGAAAAAGAAAAGAAAAAATTCATCCTACTTCTTAAAAACCTGTTTTTTCATTTTTATTTGATCTCCATACTTTTTTTTTAAAATCTGAAAACTCAGTTCTTCTAATGAATCGGAAAGTTATTGACCAAAGATGTCTAATTATAAGGGCCTTCTTATTCCTCACGCTGGAACTATAATGGCTTGATGAATTTGGAGTTAGCTCACTAACCCATACCATCGCGTGTTTCAAAGCCTGGCTTTTGGGAAAAGTTTTAGCCACGCAACATCTATATGCAGATCAATTTTCAAGCGAAGCGAAGGAGTTGAACTTCTTTACTTTACTCAAAACATCACAGACAAACAGCAAAAGGACATCTGCTGTTGCGATCACATGATCCATCTAACAACACGGCAAGACCAGCTTCGCTTACCTCTGCTCACTACAATCGGCAGTTTTTTAATTTTTGGCTTAGCCTAACTTTATAAGTTTAACTTCGCATTTAAAGCCTTGCTTTGCAGCTTCACTTATCAGAGTATAAATCGTTCTTTACATTCAAATTTAAACAAGTTAAAACTGACTTACCAACAAAGGTACAAATAAACATGCCATCTGTTCCTATGGCAATATCTGACATCCTGTCGGCATTATTTGACTGAAAATAGATTGTTACATATCTATAGACTGATTTGTACGTATATGACAGTATATAGCAGAGAAAACTTAATCAAATGTTTATCTTGAAGGTTTTTCAAAACAGTGGCAAGAGGATTCTTTAACCAGGAGGTTCATTGAAAAAGTTGGCCAAGACAGCTGCTCTGGATTTTCAGCACAGTAGAGGATGGAGGCTCTGGCAAGGAACTGTGACTTGCAGTTCAGATTGGAAGAAAATTTGGAGGTCCCATGTAACCATTTCTCTGCACGTAAAAGAACCTTTGTCAATTGGAATCTGACAAACAGTAGGCAGAAACTCTGCTGTCTTGGCCAAATTTGCCTCATAGTCATAGCACACTTTGCACATTATGCCCAATTACATTAACCTGGTTGATGCAGCCTATTTCTTTTCATCTTCTCTAAAAGCAAAACAATAACTAGCATCCATACCAGGAAAAGTCAGACATTAAACCCTATTTCAGCTTTTCTCTAAAACAATAAGTGATGCATTCCTGTCAGAAAGAAATCCCATATTACCTGACGTAAATTATCTTCTGGATCAACCTGTGAATCCTCTTCTTGAAGTCGTTGAAGTTCTTCAAGTTTACTTCTTTCAGCTTCATCATAAGATGGTAAATTGGTGGCATCATCATAGCTTGGTAATTTAGGTCCTTGAAATGCAGTGTTTTCTATAATCATATAAGATTTATATCAGGAGTAAATCACGTACGCAGCTCCATGAGCATAAATGTCAACATTATGCGTATTATTTAGTGATAGTAACTAATAAAATTATTAATGCAGTGCAACGAAAACAGTAGTCTAAATAAAAAAAAATATTCATTCATTCCCTGCGCTAGTTTACGGCATACGATTTTAGACTGTGTTTTGACTTCCCACAATGAAATTTATTCATAACGACCTAGGTCACGTATATTCCCACTCCCTGATTGGTTCAATAGTAGTAGATTATCAGAATGGGGCAAACGACCTTGCCGGAATAAATGGCACATGGTTTTATTTTACTTTTTTCATTCGTGTTGATTGAGCAAAATGATAAGTGGGAGGGTGCGGATAACAGGAGTAGTTATATTATACAAATTCCTTCACCTCATTGATTTTTTGGGATATCAGACCGATGTCATAGATAGTCTTAATAATTACGGCTAAAGGTAGGCACGTTTTTTTCTTCGCGACTCAAACAATTTGCAAATCGAAAGTACGATTTCATACTCGGCATACAGACACTCATAAACATTGAATCAAGTAAGAAATTATGAGTACCGGTATATGAACTTTTGATGTAATTGTGTTCAAGAATTTCACGTCTCCAAATTATCCGAATAGTATTTGGATTGCCAACAAAAGTATTCGGATCACAAATTTCGATACGATTTTCAACATTAATGCAATCTAAAGAGAATGTTCAAGGTTTGTTTCGGGGGGAGGGGGTTGGATGGTGGAATGGTTAGCATGCGCGCGCTGTATCATACGGTCTGTCATTGAGTCAACTGGCAGGGTTTCGATTCCCCGGTTGTACGTGACAAGAGGATTAGGGTCGCCTGTCCAATCTCGTGGGTTTTCTCCGGGTCCTCCGGTTTCCTCCCACTGCTAAAGATCCCTACGTGCAAGCGAATTATTGAAATAGAATTGAACCATATGCTAGTCCCGAAATGACCTAGTTTGTGTTGAGTGGACGTTAAACCCCATTTCTCTCTATCAAGGTTTGTTTCCTATTAAAAAAGTAGGCCTTCAGCTAAAGAACATACCTGTATTGACAGCACCTTCTGCTTCATATGGTGGAGGAGGAATCACCATTGCCATAGCAACAGGTTCAGCTGGTACCCTTTCTTCCTCCTCATGTAACTAAAATCAAATAAAATAATTTTCAAAAAATATGCAGGAAGCTTACTAATACAGTCTAATACAGTAAGATGTAAACTGAACCCTGGACATTTCATTTTCTCCAATACATCCCAATGATAGAGTGGTTCACGGCCTCAAATATTTGTGCTTATCAAAACTGACACACTTATCTGCATCATCTGGAGATTTTCTGAAGTGAGCAAATGTTAATACTACGCACATGGATTTGGAGGATGCAGCAAATATAGGTCACAAATAGCTTTCCGCAATGTATTATACACACATGTAGGCCTATAGGTATATAAAGTATAAAGCCGAGAAAAAAATACATTCATTTTCATTACGCGCTTCAACTTTCACAGTTATTTAATAGCGAACCTGAGAAAAACTTTGATTGCACTCGTTGATTTAATTTTTGATTTGGGCGATTTTGGTACGGTACTCTAGCTAGCTGTAACAGAGCTCTTTGTTTTTTTTCTAACTTTCGAACTCAGGAGTGCAGCAAGATAAACTATTACAACACTTGATTTACTTTTATTCAGCGGTTACTACATGTACCTTCGTTTACGTGCCGCTCTCTTGAGTTTCGGATATAAATATTTGCTACTGCTAGCTCTAAATATGAAGAACATGGAGTCGAGTTTCGGAAACAAATATTTGCTACTGCTAGCGTAGCTCTAAATATCCAGAACATGGCGTCGATGACAAACGTTAATGAACGAAAATAATGTAAATATTGGAATCAAGTCAAGTGGCTATGATATCGTTTTGTGGGGAGTATTTATCCAAATCAAAATGGCTAGATCGAAGAAAAAACATATCTGAGTGAATCGGCAAAGGTCACATTGCCTGACATTACGAATTGTTGAATAAAACCGAGCCGAAGCGAGAGCAGGTAAAATCGAGGCTTCAAGTCAGGCATTGCTGATTTATTTTATATTGTTTAGTTGAGTATGGTGTATGCATATATATACGGATAGAAGGTCAGATTCCTGTGAATAAATACTCAGCGACAGTGATTTTTTGTTTGAGAAGGAGGGATATCACAATATTGACATTTCATTTCGGCCTGCAAAAGTCACAGTGCATCAACATATCAAGTTATCAACAAGAACAAGTCAAAATTGAATACGTTTTGTCTCTTTTGAATTTGAGGCTAGAAATTCGGTGCAGTACAACTAAGAAAGCTGATATTTGAAACCTACCACTTCATATCTGACTGTGTTTCTGTCCATTATGGCACAGAAATTGTCTAAATTATCTTCCGGGGCGGTGTTTTCAACTACAATCTGGCAATATCTAAGTTCAGGGTCCGAACTGAAACAAAATGGCGATGAGGTTTTCTTTGCCAGGTTACATGCAAACTCCGTTTTCATTGGTTACTATTATTGAAGGATAAAGGTCATGAAGCACGTGACTGAGCTCTTAACTGAAAAAAAAAAATAAATGTACGGACAATGAGCACAAAACAAAAATAAGATGCCTTGTGAAACTCGTGTGTCTTCTAGGCCTACTAACTGACATTGCAATATCAGTAAATATCTACTATGGCATGACCTATAACCTAATTAAACTGATAAGAATATTTAAGAGCAGACGAAACATTAAAATGTTAAGGTGCAGGGTAGACAACTTCATTTTAGAGCTAGAACAGAGTTATTTTCCTTTAACTGTAGGAGAGCGTGGGGAATCAATGGGCGAGCGATGGGCTGCCCCTTGTACTATTAGACGTGAATGGCAAAATCGAATTCTATAGGCCTTCATTATGTAACCTTGACCTAGCCTAGAATATATTTCTGATTTGCCTACTGTCAACACATTGCCTTACAGCCTCACAAGTAGGCTACATTTAACCATATACCTATAGTAAAAGTATTTTTTGCATAATTTGCAATCTTTTTCATGCCCCGAACTAATTGTCATCAAGATTAAGATGTGCTTTACACCAGCACATATGCCCTAGGCATTGCACTTAAAATTAAATGCCACAGTGACTCACTGACTCTACTGTTAATAAAACTAATTAATTAATTAAATGCTGTGGGGACCGACGGACTACCTGCAGGTCGGTTCCTATATGGGCATGGGGCATTGGTCCCCAGAGTTAGGCATGGTCCATATATAGGTCCTGGTCATATTTTTAAGAAAATTGTGCATATGTTAGGTTTCAAATTTATGATCTCGAGTTTTATAATGCCAAGAAATAGAAAGAGAACAACAGACAAGAAATGTTTGATTCCAAAACAATATGCGATTGCTGTGTAATTTTTATGAACAAATCCCTGCTTATAGTATTCACAAGAATGTCAAGAATCACAAGGTTGGACAGGCGATCTTACTTGTCACGTATAGAAGTGGGTAATCGAAACACGCTACTTGAATCAATGACAGATCTTACAGATCTTATGGATCTTATGTTTTAACCATTTGCCCCCCCCCCCCGCCATATAGCCCCGCCGACTACTTCGGTATTGTCAAGAATGGTGATAAAAATGGTTGCTTTGAAGTAAATTTTTCATAAAAGCCAAAAAGCACACCATCTGTGCATTCATCGAGACAATAGTTGAAGATACCAATCTGATTGAAGCACATATCGTATTTCGTTTTGCTTTTTATAATTCAAAATTTCGATTTACTTGTCTTAACTACACTAGTATCTGCAAGAGCTGTTATAAAACCCGCGTTCTGGATGATGTGAGGGATTAGCCAATGAAACGGTCTGTTACGGCGAGTTTTTTTGGGCGTGAGGTGCATGGAACTGTGGGTATAACTAAAAACATCAAAGCTGATCAAATGTCTGACGTCATAGGTAAAAAGCAGCTCGTATGACCTCTGACACAACCTTCCACTACAACCGGTCAGATTTTCAAGTAGTGTAGGCTATCGAAAGTATAAAAAAAACGAAACGAAATATAGATCTGTATTTTTAATCAAATTGTTGAAGATACCGACTAAGTGGGTAAGACGCTGGCTCGAAAGCCTGGAGGTCGGGTGTTCGATCCCTGCATTGGCCGAGAAAGTTCATTCAGATTTTCCAGCGTGGTTTCCCCTTGTCTGTGATGCAGGACGGAGGGCCTGACAAGGACAGTTGTCTAGTCGTTCGTATGGGACGAAAAACCGAGGTCCCGTGTACACATTGGCATGCACGTAAAAGATCCCCTGGCAGTTGGAATTCGATATAAGAGTAGGCCGTCGCGCCGCTGCCCGGGCAAAATTTCCCTCATAGAACACTGTATGGCGTATGCCCGTCTTCATTAGCCCAGGTTAGGAGCAGAACAGTAGGACGTTAAACCCCATTTCATTTCATTTCATTTCACCGACACTGTAACACTCTCAAATATGGTAGCCATGCTTCCCGAACTAAGAAAAAATAAATACCGCAAAAAAGACAACCAGGAATTATTCGCTTTGATGTTTCCACTGATGACTATGGTATTGAATAGGCCGGTTATTATGATCTTGCTAATAAGTTACTTCAACAAAAATGCGCCAAAATTATATTTTTTATTTATTCTTTAATTAAATTAAGTAAAAGCTCTTGAATGTTTGTATATCTTATAACCATTGAACGGTCCATTGGTCCCCACCTAGGTCCGATGGGCCATCCTGAGTGATGTCAGAAAAATAGGTATACATGTAATTCCAAATTTACTGAATATGTTTACAAATTCTATATTTTTCAGGCAGACGGGTTGAGTGGGAAAAAATGAAGTGATAATTTTTGAAAAAAAAAATATACTTAATACAGAGATAGATTGCCAGGCAACGAAACATAAGCCCACGTCACATCAGCTAAATGGTCCCTCCGGTCAAAAAGGACTGTCGCATATTTAATCTTTTGTAGGTAATGGAGGACATTTAAATAACTATTAATGCATATAAATTTCATACAGATCAGACTTGTCGTTAGGGCGTTCACATTGTTCAATGTTCAAAATAAAACAATGCCCATCGTACGAGCGTTCACGGGGTTCAAAGTTAAACAAGGGCGATAACTCTATAATTAATTATTAGAAATTGCTTAAATTCAATATTGCATGTTCCGTATAAATTTCATATAGATCGGACGATAACTTTTGTCTTGGGTAGTGTTCGTAAAAGTGCAACAAAGTGAAGCAAGGGCGAGAACTCCAGACTGAAATTGCTGAAATTCAATAGGATTTTGTGTTTCATTAATTTAAATGATGCATATAAATTTCATACAGATCAGATGATAACTTTCGTCATTTGAGCGTTCACGTACGGTTCAATAAAGTGAAACAAGGGCCATAACTGTAGACGTAATTAACGTAAATTGCTGAAATTGAATAGGCTTCTTTGTTTCACTAATTTAAATCATTCGTATAAATTTCATAGAGATCGAATGATAAATTTTGTCGTTAGAGCGTTCACAGGGCTCTACAAAGTGATACAGGGGCCATAACCCTAGACTTAATTAACGCTGAATTGCTGAAATTCAATAGGCTTTCTCGTTTCAATCATTTAAATCATGCATATAAATATCATACAGATAGGATGATACATTTTGTTGTTAGAGCGTTCACGGGGTTTGGCAAAGTGAAACAAGGGCCATAACTCAGACGTAAACGGAAATTGTTGAAATTCAATAGGTTTCTTCATTTCTCTAATTTAAATGATGTACATGTATATAAATTTCATCCTAGGCCTATTATAAGCTATACTTTTCTGCTGTGTGCACCGTGCTTCACACCATGCATTCAGTGAGCTGCAAGGGAAATTTTGGCCGTACAGCAATTGAATTCCAGTTGTTAGGGGTTTTTTTAGGTGCCCACCAAGGTTTAGCCTACACAAGACTTTACAATGGTTTTCGTCCCTTCGGATCCAAGGACTAGGCGATTTAAGGAGGCAACTAACTCAATATCATCAACAGTCTTCAACATTGCAAACACGACTTATTGGTCAGTTTAAATCAACATTGATGATGTTATCTTACTGTGAAAAGATGGGCTTCTGATATCCAATATTTAAGACAAAATGTAAAATTTTAAAATTGGCACACGAATTGCGTGCCAGAAAGCTTCCGAGTGCCATTTGTAATGAAGCGACTCCATGAACTAGGCTCAACATATCCCACAAGGGAGAATGCTACCGGTGTAGTGTTGCAAATCCTCTGCCAGCGAGAGATTCGTCTTTGTTTTGGGAACACCTCTGGATCAGACCACCGGAGAAATGAATAAGCTCAGTATGGTCACGCAATACTTTCGTTCCGTTCGACTGAACGCTTTGCTAAAATAGCATAGTACTTTCTCTTCTCCGTTCTGATGCTGCGATAACACCGTGTCCAGTATAAATAACCCCTCGCTTCTAGGATATGCTAAAATAGGCGATTCGGTTAATGCGTCCTTCAGGAGATCAAATGCGGACTGACATTCCGTGCTCCAATTGTACTTAGTATTTAACTCGGTCAATTTGTGGAGTGGTTTAGCAATGTCACCAAATCCTTTAACAAATCGACGGTAATACGAACAAAGGCCTAAGAATTGTCTAATCTCTTTGACGCTTTTTGGAGCAGGCCAATTTTCGACCGCTTCTATCTTCGCTGGATCAGTCGCGACACCATGCTCGCTACGATATGACCCAAAAATAAAACTTCCTTCCTGTACAATGAACATTTTTTCGAGCTCATTTTTAGATTCGCCTCACGGAGTCTCGCCAAAACCTGCTCCAAATTTTCCAAATGGTCTTTAAATGTTTTCGAAAATACAATAATATCATCGAGATACACCATGCATATCTTCCAGTTAAGTTTTGATAATACCTTTTCCATAAGCCGTCCAAAAATCGAGTGGTGCGTTACTAAGTCCGAATGGTACACGAATTGCCATAGGCCGCCACCCTGGATTGAGAACGCGGTTTTCGGTCTATCTTCCGGTGAAACTTTAACTTGCCAATAACCGCTTTTAAGATCGAGTGTTGAAAAATAACGAGAGCCAGAAAGAGCATCTAATGTGCTATCACTTCTTGGTATCGGATGGCTGTCTTTTATGGTTACATCATTTAATTTTCCATAGTCGATGCAAAAACGTAAACTGTTGTCCTTTTTGCGGACTAATTCCACCGGAGACCGCCATGGGCTATCTGAGGGTTCAATAACTCCCTTGTTCTCCATGTCTTCTATCTCCTTTTCTATTTCTTTTATGTTAGATAAGGGCACGCATCTCGGAAATTGTCGAATAGGTAACGCATCTCCCGTATTTATGTGGTGCTCCGCTAAGTCGGTAAGACCCAAATCGTCTGCGGATTTGAAAAATACGTCAGCATACCGTATTAACAATGATTTCAGAGCTTCCTTTTCTACACTGTCAAGGTCTAAAGAGGATTCTTGAAACATATATTAGTTAAATGTACTGGTAAGTCATTATCATGACCTTCTCTTGTTGGGTTTGTGGTAATCTGATTTACCCCTACATCCTTTGAACTATTTCCGGCTAAGCATTTGTCGACAGTGGCTACGACGGAATTTTTATATATTTTATATTCTTTATCATTTATATTTAAAAGTCTGACTGGCTAACAAAATATTATGTTTTTCTGTGAATCTGTCCGTTGGTTCGACAATAGCCGTGGTCCCCCGGGGAATAGGATCCATAAACTTACAAGGGACTACCATCTCAGTATTCGGAGGAATAATCAGCGTATCTATCAAAGCGATTCGACTACATGCAGAGACTTCTTCGTTTTGATATCTGAAACAGGGTATACTATCTCCCTTTATTTCTATACGATTCTGTTTTAATAAAATATTGACTGAATGTTCGCCCATGAAGTCCATGCCAAAGATTCCATCTTGGACTATATCGGCGATTAAAAAATTATGCTTAAATTGTGTATTTCCCATCTTTATATCAAGACCACATTTCCTCAGAAATGGTTTCCTCTCTCCAGTTGCGGTTATCAATTTCAAGTCAGTGGCTTCGATCTGGAGTTTGCCTAAGATATTCGGGTCACTGACAAAATGGTGTCCCAAAATAGAGACTGTTGCACCAGTACCAATTAGTAATGGTAATTGTTGTTCTAATACACTAGTATGGACAAAAAGTTCACTGTTTCTATCGTTTGAACAACTCAAGATAATTTCTCTGGGTCTTATATTAGATACAATTAAAGCTGAAAACTGACCCCCGGATTCAGCATTTACTTGTTTTCCGAAACCGGATTTTCTTTTTCATGACCCGATCTATCGCTCTGACCAGGCGTACTTCTCTCTGAATTCCTTAACTTATCGAAACTATCTCTACTATCTCTATTGTTTCCCCCTATTCCAATTTGCTCCATTACCAGTTCCCCTTGGGAAGTTGTCTAAATGATCTCTCATTTTGAAGTTTCTAACATCTTGCCACGAATTACTCGAGTTAAAACCCGCCCCACGTCGGCTATATTGTCTTGCATTCCAATAATTCCTACGCCTAGGCTGATTATTGCTTGATAATGACCCCCTATCAGTTTTTAATACGTCCAGCAAGTCATTTAAAGACTTAGTCAACGATGAGATGTCGGAACGGTCTGATTTCCCGGAGGCACATTCTCTAATTTCTAAGGGTTGCTGGGCGCTTTCTCGGCTAAGCGTATGAACTGTCCGCCCTCTCTGTCTATCAGCCAGTCTATGAGCCTCAAGTCTTATGGCATGCGATTCTGCTTCTGCTATATCTTTTGGTTGTAGCTCACGAATGCGCAGACGCATTTCGGAGTCTGGAAGAGAATCCACAAAATAGTCCAGAGCTAATACACTTTTTAGGGAAGAGTCGGACATTGGATATGCCTGTCTCGTCAGTTTCCGTATGGATTGTGCCAGTTCCGGTAAAGTTTCGTTTCTACCCCGCGCTCTAGTTTGGAGTCGAGCCCGATATACTTCCGATCTCTCCGCTGAGCCGAAACGCACCTGTAGGTTCTTGCTCAGAGTTTCAAAATCATGTTTTTCCATTGGGTCTAATTCAGTAAGCACGGCACGAGCACTTCCGGCTAAGCTGCTGGCTAGATATAGTAATTTATCATGATAGTCCCAGTCATATATTTGGGCGATGGTTTCAAACTGATTTAAGTATTCATCTAAATCGTTAGATCCATCGTACAGTTGGGGCTTAATACGAACACTGCTCCATGTGGGTCTGAAACGTCTTTTGGGGAATGTATGGTTCTGATTTTGATCAGTAAGTGACCTACATTCATAACTGGAATCCCCAGGAGGGGTTGTTCTTTGGGCTATCCCTACCCTTTCTTCAAGGAGATCAACATTGGATTTCAGTGAAACGAGGTCTCGTCTCAATTCATCGACCGTTTCTTTTATTTCTTGCCTAACTTCTTTGTGAAAAAAGTCTAATCTCTCCCCTAACTTTTCTAACAAATTATCAGTAAATATCTCCTCATTTTCGGCTGAGGTTGTCGACTGGGGTGATTTACCATTTCTATCCTGTCTCTCGGACTCCCTTTCCGCGAATTCTATTTCTGAGTCTTCCATGGAAGCCATTAATTTTATTAATTGTGAATTATCTATCCTGATCCTTTGGTCCACTAGACAACAGAGGAAAGCTAGATCCCACTTCTGACACCAGTGTTGCGAATCCTCTGCCAACGAGAGATTCGTCTTTGTTTTGGGAACACATCTGAGCTAGATACGTGGGACCAAAAGAAAGGACAAGACAATTAACTTTTAATTAAACTTTACTTAACACAGAAAGCAATAATACAACAATATAATTTGAATAACACGTGTACAATAATCGTAATCAATTAAATAGAAACCGGAAATCGAACTTCTAATATCACTGGATAACTTCAGTCACTGTAAATAACAAGAAAAAGATGTGCTATACACGGAAATATATCCACTGGATAGCTAACGTCGATGGATGACTCGAATCACTGGACCACTGGAGTTACTGGATAACTTCAGTCACTGGAATATGTAATTATATGATAATATAAAATGATATGCTATACACGGAAATATATCCGCTGGATCTGAACTGTCATGGCTGACCATGTAAAGTTTTGTCCCAAAATTGCCATGTGAATTCTATAAAAATACAATATGTACGTCTCTATGAAGGACCCGTGAACATTAATCTGGACTCTGTGGTGATCAAAGTTACTGACTCGACAAAATGATATAACTTCTTTGGATATCATGACGTCTATACGTGTGACGTTAAGGCTGACGTTTCATTCCGACGTCAACGGGACAGAAAAGATTAATTCTACCCACTTTACAATACAATACTAATTTGTTAGAAAAGTTTAACTTGCTGGTGTGGACCATCAAATAGGTATCAATTGACTAGGTTCGTAACACTGGACGTGAATAACCAATTATTTGGACTCTTTGTCACAAAGTTTGTGTATTTCGCCGAACATAATTGATTAGAGAAATTACAGTGACAACCGAAACGATTGAATGTAAATCAGTTTATATATACATTCATATTATATTATATGCATTGCGACCCATTTGTGTCCATTTCTAGGTGCCGGTGCCAAATAGAGATTTAGCTCCTTTAATTGCCGTGGCCTCCGCGCGTCGCACACATATTTACTACCATAAGTGTTGAACTAATATTTAACCCTCTATAATCTTGGGGTCCAGTATTTCACTATACAATTTCAACAATGCACATGATCAGTAATTTCATTTGTCGCAAAAAATGAAAGTAGGCTATTTTACTGTAAGTATGTATACTGGAAAACCACACGCTACGTACGATACCCGGATGGTGACAATAATCTGTGTATTTATATTCTACATGTCATGTAAAGAAACCCCATCTCTCAACAGTGTCATTTCAATCATATGTACGCGTTGCCATATCTGCACGGGCATGTCGATAAATACAGATATCACACTGGTACCGTTACGCTGTAAAAAAAAAAAAAAAGTCACAAAAAACAAATTTGCGGATTCTTTTCTATAATTTACTGAACAGAAGTCGGTGAAGCACGTTTGATTGGATACCGTAATAGCCTACACTAGGCACGTGATCAGAGCATGGCCACAAACCAAAGTCTGCGTCGACTGAATAAAACAAAAATACGCCGCCGAAAAATAAAACCCTTTCTGTTAGACGTGCACCTAATCACTAATGCACGCGCATGTACATGTATGTAAGTGCAGGGAGCGATTAATTAGGAGCATATTGAACGAGAGTGAGTATAATTTAATCCCCGTTACACTGTCACACGAGCCAACACTAGTATAGTTGTACAAGGTCATACCGTATGCAATCAGCTGATATCGTAGTGTCAAGGCAGTGTGCGGTGAATGATACTCTAACAGACTGTTCACTATGAATTTCACGAAGTTCAGACTGACATCACTCAAGGATTTGTTAATATTGTAGGAATAGTTGTTGTATTTGGAGAGTGCAAGTAGGTTGCAGAGTGATTATAATGTCAGACTCAGAGGAATAATGTGTTGTACTTGTGTAGGCTACATAAACAGACGTGTATGCACTAGCGAACTTTGGTCATAACATAACGATATAGTCTACATTTTTGAAATAGTCATCAACATAAAGTAGAATTAGGTATTTATAATTGGAACATTTTTTTATTTTACCATTGCTGGATGCCTTTGAGGCACTGATTGTCAAAACCATTACGGTACACGGCACCAGTAGTTTTTAATTTGTGAAGAATTTTTAAAAATTTAATGTCAACAAATCTCTTGTTAAAGGGACAATAACACTCTTGCTGGCTTGAAAGCTCCAGAAAATAAATAATATCTCTAAGTACTAGATGTTTAAGTGTCCTACCTGTTGTGTAAATTATCCATTACATCGAAAATATTTTTAAATCGAAGTTTCATTTGAAAAGGTTTATGTTAGACGTTTCAAACCATTATGTTGAATTTTTCAAAATTTTTAAATAAGGTGTGTTAAGATGAAATTTGTATCATCAATTAATTGAAATATTCTAAAATTGTACAATTTGTTGTCCAGAATAAAGATTGGGACATATTATTCAGTTACAACAAGAGTGGTATTGAGCCTTTAAAGGGGAATTATGGGGGATTAGATAAAAAGCTGGCAGCTCTCACTACAATAGTTATAAATTAGAAAATAATAATGTAAAGGGAATTTGCTGAAAATTTCAGTCAAATTGATCCACTCTGAGTTTTGAATTTTACTACCTAGGCCTATATAACCTCGATCGATCATCATTACTTAAGTCGGTACATAGTCTTAATTATCCATTTTTGGATTTAATCATCGATGAGCATTGAGCAGCAGATCTGATTCAAATCCAGTAAATATCGCAGGCTAGCGATGACATCAAGAGTTGATTATGGTCTGGATAAGTTAATTAAAGTCTAATATATTACTCTAATTAATAATTTAGATAACATTTCAGGCCTAAAGAAAGACCTGCAATAGGTAGATTTAGTTCTTGCATAATTATGTATGTTTAAAATGACTGTATCTTAATATTTTATCAATTGGACTTACAGGAACTAAATGGACAGAAATGGATTAAAGAGCACATATTCAGGGCCTGTGACAGGGATCTGGGCCCTGAGACAAACAACTGGCGAGGGAGGGCCCCAGACTCAAAAGCTCACTAGCTTCATTTTGGCATATATCTTGGGTAATTGTAGTTCTCTTTACTAAAACATTGGTTGGGAAAAGATCCGAAATTGGCAAAAATATCGAAAAAAACATCAAGATTTTTAGCACCCAACAAAACGAAGACGAAAGTAAAAGTTTTGCTTTCAGTTTCGTTTTTAATGATCGGATACCAGTTAGCTTACCAGAGCAATCGATATCCATGTGCAAGATCACTGATGGCAGAGCGCGACACTGACGCCCTCACCATCATTGTACGTTCCACACAGGCACTGATACCTGCTGGGGTCCAGATACCCTGACAGTGACTATAGCCTCAAATGAAATTAGGATAGGCCAGATCCCCACGGTGTGAATTTAAGGCCCGGGTTATAGTTTTTAATTCACCAATTTTCTCAAAGTGACAGAAACCGATTCTAAACCTACCCACGCCACTAGGTACCCACATTCAGAAAAGTTACTGTTTTTTCTTCTACTTTACAATCAAGTAACAGTGTACTTTTGTTATTACATGTAATTATTTATATACTAACAATTGATTTTTTTAAAGCATTACTCGACATACCTCTGGGCCCCTATATAGGCTCCAGACCCCTGGACAAGAGTCCCAGCTGCCCCTTCCTCTCATGGGCCTTGCACATATTAATGTAATTTGGGTGTATATTATATAAACTGATTTTTAAAACTTTAATTGTAATTTCTAATCAGTTCATCGAAATAAGAAAGCAGTCCAAACTGAATGGCAATCAATCAAGTCTGGTTAGTCAAGTCAACATCAGATGTTAAGTCATACTACATGTATGCACAAAGCCTGAAACATTCAAAGGTCAGCATTGAATTGTGGTCATCCGGTTTCCTCCCTCTACTAAAGACCCCTACGAACTTGTGTAATGAATTGTTGAAATAAAATTGAGTCATTGTTAGTCCCAAGATTTCCTAGTTTTGTGTTGAGTGGACATTGAACCCAATTTCTATCTCGGTTTTATTGTTAAGGGCCCTCTCTGGCAATTACCACCATATAAATTCAGCCCTGCCAGTATACATATAAATATGTATTAATAATATTCAATCTGGTTTCTTTCAGGTTCATCAGATATTCCACAGGATTCCAAGAAATTCATATAAACAGGGAATTGGTTTGATAACAAAATGGGCTGACTTATCATACATTCCAAAAGGATGGCTTCTTTAGGTTCAGGACCAGAAACCAACACTTTAAAAGCTATTTGTGAGGCGATTCGGGAAGATGATCTGGAGAAAATTCACGTTTTACTCAATGAAAATCCCAGTTTCAACTTGAATCAGGAATGGGAGGAAGGAGTGTATCCAATAAATTTAGCGTGTACAGGGTTGAACAGGGATATCGTTAATAGATTGATCCAACATGGAGTTGACGTTAATATCACTGGATCAGATGGCAAAACAGTGCTACACGATATCTGTAAAACAGAAGAAAGAAAGTCAGAAGCTCTTGAGATTTTAGAAATTTTGCTAAATTCGGGAGCCGTTGTAGATGTTGCGGACAATATGGAGTGTACACCGCTGTTTCTCGCATGTGAAAATGATGATGTCAAAATGGTAAAAATCCTCATAGATAAAGGAGCAAATGTCAATGTTCAAACTGTTTCGGGTGAAACCCCCATTAAAGTTTCGTGTAGGAATGCCGAATTTTGGTTTTTCTGGCAAGGGAGGGAAACAAGTGGTGGTACTAAAGTATTAGATCCGGATACATTTCCGCCAGTCAAGATTACCAAACGTCTTTTGCACGCTGGAGCAAACCCAAAACAAGCAACATTTCTGCCATCTGCAATTCAGTTTGGATTTATTGATCTTGTTACTGAACTTCTTGACCTCGGTATGGATATAAATATGCTAGACGATCACCAGAGAACACCGTTGGGGTTTGCTTGTTTTTCTGCGAGTGTTCATACAGATGTTGTTCGTCTGCTGTTAACCTATGGAGCAGACGTGAATAAGGGTGGAGGATGGAATCGCCAGAAACCTGTGATTTTCGCCTATGTTCACAACTCGGTGGAGAAACTGAAACTTTTGTTGTCGTACGGTGCGCAGGTCACGGGAGAAGTCATGACGGAGCTGGTATCTGTGAGCTTATCAAAGTCTATTTTGGAAAATCCTGAAGTAGTGACTTATTTTAGTAAGGAATTAATGTCTTGGAGGTTATTGCTATCGGCGGGATTTCAGCCCCAGTTCTCAGGTGCTTTGGCAACTAAATATCACCAAATAGAATTGTGTAGTAGTTACCATAAAATTAAAACTTGGATACCATCTCTGGTGTTTCCGTTGCGAACTTTAAAAGATTTTTGTCGCATAACAATTCGAAAAAATCTACCCACAAGCATTGACAAAAACATTCAGTTTTTGCCCCTTCCGTTTAAATTGAAAGAATTTCTTGTATTCAAAGAATTCTCGTTGAAAGAGGGGACATAAAATGTTGAAGGAAGCGAGGATCTAATATTTTGAATAATTTAATTATAATTATTGACTTGGGAAATGCACAAGGATTTATCATTCAATGTGCAAAAGTGATACACTGTTATAAAATAAAGCTTGTTTATTAATATACCCAACAAACACATAACTTATGCATTATTACAGCAGTATTGGGTGAAGATTTAATGCATGTGAATTCTGATGTATGACCAATCTGATATAAAGATGCACTACATGTATGTAAAAGCTAAATCTACCTATAACAGGTCTTTACATGTATTTTGGCTTCAAACGTTAAATAAATTATTATTTAGACATTTATTCACCTGGCAAGCCTATAATCAACTCTCTAGCCTATCGGATAGCGGGGACTGAAATGGATTTAAACATCTGTGAGATTTCAGAATTTAATGATAAAATGGACAGTTGCGACTGAGTTTCGGTTTAATCAAGTACCATTGCTACGATAATGAATGATCTACACTATATCTTCAAACAGTCATAACTTTGCTCAGAATAAAGTGATTTGAACTATTTTTGAACTAATATAGCTATAAGGTCCAAGCTCTTTATCTAAATCTTACATAATGTATCTTTAATAATAATAATAATTGTTGTATTTGTATAGCGAAAAATTTCAAACTAAAGTCTGCTAGTAAGAACTGTCCTTCACTATGTTTCCATAAAATACAATAATCTATGAGAGAGTATTATTGGAGAATTTGCGATAATCTAGGGTCAAATGATATATTGGATTATTGTGGTATTTTAATGGTCAATACAGTTTATATGTTGTGATTGATTGATTTATTGAAATTATGTCCAGTCCTACATTTTGATAAATTTGTACCCATATACATGTACAGCTAAATATACCGGTTAATTCATTTCTCATTCAAAAATTTATATTTTATAGTGTACTTGAAATAGTTGTTTGGATGGAATACCAAGGTCCTGTGTACACATTGGTGTGCAAATAAAGGATCCCTTGGCAGTTGGAATTCAATGTATGAGAGTAGCCCGTAGTGTCGTCTGGGAAAATTTTCCCTCATAGCACACTGTATGGCGTATGCCCGTTTTCATTAGTCCAGTCAGAGCAGAACAGTAGGGCCTTTAACCACATTTCATTCAGTCCTTAACTTAAAAAGTTTAATATGGTGCTTATTAATGTGTCTTTACTGAATATACTGATGAATAATTTAATTTATTGTAAAACTGATCAAAATGGCATTTTTATACACCCACATTGAAATGTGGTCGAATATTGTCATCACCCCTGTCCGTCCGTCGGTCCGGCGCCCACAATTGCTTGTGGACGCTCTAGAGGCTAATGTTAATATCCGATTGACTTTAAATTTATACACTGTGTTTAAGGTCATGAGATAATTTCCGATAATTACTGCCAGAGTTATGGCCCTTGATCACTTCAAAAAATCTTGTGGACACTCTAGAGGCCAAAGTTAATATCCAATTGACTTTAAATTTATACACAGTGTTTAAGGTCATGAGACGAAGAAGCCTTTTGATTTTCAGCAATTTCCGATAATTACTGCCAGTCTGCCAGAGTTGTGGCCCTTGATCAGTTCAAAATATCTTGTGGATGCTCCCGTTAGCAGTTCTCAGTGTCTAGAGGCTAAAGTTATCATCCGATTGACTTCAGATTGATACACAGAGTTTAAGGTCTTGAGACGAACATGTATATTAATTTTCAATGAATTTTGATAACTAACTTGAACAGCTAAATCCATGATATTAAATGTTTCGTATACTAAACGTTAGCATGGGGCAGAACATTACAAAAACCAAACAAATTCTTCTACTCTTAATCAGATTTTAGTGTATTATAAATGTTTCATTACCGAAAAAAGTAAAAATATGCAACAACTTTTGTTGACTGCACGGACGATATAGCTGCTGTGGGCGTATGTTTATTGAAGTACTTACTTTAAATAGTAATCTGCCTTTTGGGGTCAGGGTCAGTGGTACAGGATGGAGGGCCTGACAAGGAACCTTGACTAGTCGTTCGGATGGCTATGGACACTGTCCGGAACAGATTTCTCTCCTTTTCAGTCACACTAGCATTATCTACATGTAGTAAGTGATGACTGTTCTCAGGTTATGTTGGCATTTATAATAGATGTAAAAAATGTAAATAAACTTATACGGCCATCTAAATCTTCTAGATTCAAACATACATTATTATGGAATTTCTGAAAAGTTGGATTTTAATTAAAGCATAGATTTATGTTTCAAACACTGCTTCCTCATGTTGAACCCAGCCATCAGTTTGATTGGCTTGGCTTGGCTTGGCCTTATCTAGTTTCCTCATAGTGGACCTAAGTTACCTAACCATCAATTTCATTGGCCTTATCTACGTATTAAGTTTCCTCGGAATCACTAGTCTGTGATATCACCCTGGCTGGAAGCAGAGGTTCTGTTATACTACTATATATGCCACACTAGTATGCTTTATAAAATATTTTGTACTCTGCTTTGGTGAATTACTAATAATATTTAGATTGTATGGTTTAATTTAAATTAACAAAGTTATTATGATTCTGCATCCATGATGATTTGAATGTTTAATTGTTGTGTATGTTATTCTCTGACAGATTTTTAGCAAGTATTGTCTGAGAACCTGAGTAATTGTATTGTATGATTTTATTAATCAGGATGATTTGAATGTATAATTGTTGTGTATGTTATTCTGTCATGATAAAATCATGTAAATGCTTCACTTATTGGTTTTTTTTTTATCAACATGGCCAGTTTTCAATCTAAACAAAAAGAACAGAAGGTTCACTAGTCCTCCCACCCCAAATGAACATAGAGAGAAAAGGGTTTTAATTTAATGCCCAAACTAGGTCATTTGTCGACTGGCATATTGTGCAATTTTATTTCAATAATTCGCTTATGTGTAGGGGCCTTCAGCTGTGGTAGGAAACTCAGAAGACTCAGACAAAACCCACAAGGCTGGACAGGTAACTCTACTCCTTATCACGTACAAGTGGGGAATCAAACCATGTCACTTGACTCAATGAGAGACATTATGATCATCTAAAGCACACGTTAAGGGCAAAAAGACAAATGATATGAAATGGGGTTTAACGTCCTACTTTTCTTAAGATTGGTCAAATCAAGACAGGCATATGACGTGCAGTATGCTTTTAGGAAAATTCTTTTATGTGCAAGTGTAAATAGGACCCTGGTTTACATGTATCATCTTATCCAAACCAAAAATACAAACTGATGTAATAGCCTTGACTACCACTGAGACTTGACATGGTGTGATTCCATCAATGCTAGTCAAACATGAATTTTGTCCCGAATCCGTGAAGAAATGAGGACTCCCCCAACTGAAAATATTGTCGTCGCCCCTGTCCGTCCATTCACATTTTGTTTGTGGACACTCTACAGGTCACAATCTTTATCCGATTTTAATGAAACTTGCAATATAGGTGTATCGCCCAAAGATCTCTGTTCCTATCAAAATTGGCATGATCAATACGGACCTTAACTTCATGGATTATGGTCCCTGATTGTATAAAAAATCGTGTTTTTAGCTTGTGGTCTTTCTAGAGGTCACAATTTTTATCTGATTTAAAAAAAACATTTAAATATATCACCGTTACACCATAATAAGGGTTAAGTTCAAATTCCATGAAAATTGGACTGAAACTTTTGGACAAAATGGCCGCTCCTCAAGCGCAAATAGTGTAAAAGTGTGTCATATCAAGGTTGTGGACCCTCTAGAGGTCACAATTTTGATCCAAATTTGATGAAATTTTAAATGTATGTTTATATCACAAAGATCTCGGTTCCTTTCGATAATCACGCATATTGGAACGTAACTTACTGGATTATGGCACCTGATTGTCCAAAAAATTACGTCGTTAGCTTGTGGCCCTCTAGAAGTCACAATTTGGATTCAATTTTAAAAACCGTTTAAATATATCACCATTACACTTCAACGAATGTTGAGATGGAATTTCATAAAAATCTGACCGAAACTGCCGGACAAAATGGATGCTCCTTGTACGCAAATAGTCTAAAGTATGTAATTCCAAGGATGTGAACCCTCTATATTCTATAAGTCACAATTTTTATTCAGTTTTGATGAAACTTGAAATATATGTTTATATCACAAAGATCTTGGTTCCTCTCGATAATCACACATATCGGAAGGTAACTTTCTGGATTATGGCCCCTGATTGTTCGAAAAAATAACGGTTTTAGCTTGTGGACCATCTAGAAGTCACAATTTGTATTCAATTTTAAAAACCGTTTCAATAAATCAATATATCACCGTTACACCTCAGTGAAGGTTGAGTTCAAATCTCGTGAAATTTGGACTGAAACTGCTTGACAAAATGGCTACTTGTATGCAAATAGTGTAACAATATGTAATACCAGGGTTCACAACCTTGGTATTAAATATCGTTTAAATATATCACCATTACACTTCAACGAATGTTGAGATGGAATTTCATAAAAATCTGACCGAAACTGCCGGACAAAATGGATGCTCCTTGTACGCAAATAGTCTAAAGTATGTAATTCCAAGGTTGTGAACCCTCTATATTCTATAAGTCACAATTTTTATTCAGTTTTGATGAAACTTGAAATATATGTTTATATCACAAAGATCTTGGTTCCTCTCGATAATCACACATATCGGAAGGTAACTTTCTGGATTATGGCCCCTGATTGTTCGAAAAAATAACGGTTTTAGCTTGTGGACCATCTAGAAGTCACAATTTGTATTCAATTTTAAAAACCGTTTCAATAAATCAATATTTCACCGTTACACCTCAGTGAAGGTTGAGTTCAAATCTCGTGAAATTTGGACTGAAACTGCTTGACAAAATGGCTACTTGTATGCAAATAGTGTAACAATATGTAATACCAAGGTTGTGAACCCTGTAGAAGTCACAGTTTTTATCTGATCTTGATGAAACTTAAAATTTATGGTCATATCCAAAAGATCTTGGTTCCTTTCGATGCATATCGGCCCCTGATTGGACCAAAAAATTACATCTTTGTTTAGCTTGTTCTCTGTCCATCACTTGCAAAATGTGGGCGCATCTTGCCTGGCAACCGCTGGTTTTAACAATTCCAAGGACAAACACTACTTTAATAAGATAAATTTTAATCTTTATACTGAATGCAGACCACTTTGTTTATGATAATTTTCATAAAAACTGATAGCTGTTTGACTAGTTCGTGGTGTTATAGCTAATAAAGCCTGGTTAAAATGTCTCTGTTGTATACACTTGCCATTTATATCTTCTTGTAGAGCTGCTAGTGCTGCCTCATGGCAAACAGCTGTCACCTGAAATATGCACAATATTTCTTTATTTATAATAATGATTATTTATAATAATATTAATATGTCCATTTATATCATGCCAAATGCACTAAGCATGTGCCTAGTGCCTACAAAACTATTTTCAAAGGTTCTTTTGCTCCAAGATTTTGTAAAATCTTCTAATGAATTTTGAACGGGATTTGAAAGTTGACAAAGAAGTCACATAATTATGTTAACTGGCACTGAATTCATCTTTCTGCAGCAGCAACAGAAAACACTTTCAGTTCAAAAGTAGCAAGTTTCCACTTTGGTACAGCTTTGGTATTAGCCAATTGAGATTGTTTAAATGAAACAGTCCTTTAGGAACCTACAGCTGAATTCATTGAGGTAATTTGCAATATGTTATCATTACTACAGTTACCTCTGCTCCAGAATAAAAATCTGTTCTATTAACAAGATCCTGAATTTGAACATCAGATGCGATTGGCATGGTCTTGAACTTTAAATTAAAGATGGCTGTTCTGGTTTCTGGTGTTGGTAATGGTACATACATAATTCTATCAATTCTACCTGGCCGGAGTAACGCCTTAAATAAATTAAATATATTACATCAACATCTACCGAATCGGCAGAACTGAACCTGATTAAAATTAGATTTCACTGCCAGATTATTCATCTCTAAGATCTATTGTCACATCAATATATAGGACAGAAATTGATCTGAGTTTAATGATGTGTCAGCACAACTGAGACCAACATATGGTTATTGATTTCAATAGCCGGGTGTGCAATTCCTGGCAGAATTGTGCCCAGACAGCAGGGTTTCCACTTGATCTTCATCAAATTCCATCTGACAAGGGCTCTGTAACGTGCACTCCATCCAGCTATCCAAACTTGTGTCAGGGTGGGGGGAATCCAAAAGTTATTTAAATTTGAGAGAGAGATAGAAATGGTTTAACGTCCACTCGACACAAACTAGGTCATTTCGGGACTAATATATGGTTCAATTTTATTTCAATAATTCGCTTGTAAGTATAGGGGTCTACACCAGTGGGAGGAAACCAGAGGACCTGGAGAAAACGCATGAGGTTGGACAGATGACCCTGCTCCCTGTCACGTACAAGAGGGGAATTGAATGCACACCACCTGACTTAATGACAGCCTTTCTTATTCAATGCACACACGTTAACCATTCGGCCAACCAACCCCCGCTTATTTAAATTTGAATATATTCAACCCCTTTTCATTAAGATATGATAAACTTGAGATAATTATGTATTATTATAGAATGAAACTACAAGATACCTTATCAATCATATCTGGTCGATTTGTAGCAGCTACAATCGTTACATCCTGCAGTTTCTCCACACCATCTATCTCTGTTAATAGTTGGGCTAGAACACGATCAGCTACATTACTACCTCCTGATGAACTATAATAACAAACATACATTACTACCTCCTGATGAACTATAATAACAAACATATATTACTACCTACTGATGAACTATAATAACAAACATATATTACTACCTCCTGATAAATTATAATAATAAACATACATTACTACTACCTCCTGATGAAATGAAATGAAATGGGGTTTAACCTCCTGTTTTGCTCCGACTAGGCTAATGAAGATGGGTATATGCCATACAGTGTACTATGAGAGAAATTTTGGCCGGACACTTATATCGAATTCCAACTGCCCAAGTGTTTTTATATTCACACCAATGTTTGTACAGGACATCGGTTTTCCATCCCATCCAAATGACTAGACAGTTTTCCTTGTTAGTCCCTCTGTGCTGCACCACCTTACAAGGGGAAACCACACCGGAAAATCCTGATAAACTTTCTTGACCAACACCGTGATCGAACCCGCGACCTCCAAGCTAGCGAGACATCGTCTTACTCACTTACCCACCATGGCTCCCACCTCCTGATGAACTATATATAAGAAACATAAACTTAAACTAAAGACACTGTAAAAAATAACGCAACACAATTTATATGGAAAACAGTCATTGCTTTGTAGTGCACATATAGCATGATGGTTTGATGTAACGTTACCTGCCCCTTTCTACAGCCAATGCATCAATCTCATCAAAAAATATAATAGAGGGTGCTGCCATCCTGGCTTTACGGAATACCTCTCTTACTGCTCGTTCTGACTCTCCGACCCATTTACTGAATAACTCTGGTCCCTGAATAAACACAAATAAATCAATTAAACATCCCATCTGAAGTGTAGACTAGATTAATAAAAATCTATCTCTTCCGTCTGTGTGTTTGTCTTGTTGGTTTTCTTTTTAGGCATGTGATGGGGATGGCCAAAATATATATGAATGAATCACGTTTTTGCCTGAAATATATCTAACTATTGGAGGAAATAGATTGTTTTAGCTCTGGATTTTATTGTGCACAATTAACAAGGAACTAGTCTCTCCTGATGAAGGTCTAACACATAAATAGTATGTTCTACTGATCCATAAAGTATAAAATCCAAGGGAAAATTTATTGAATGTTTTTACCTTTACTGCAATAAAGTTCAAGCCACTTTCTGTAGCTAATGCTTTAGCTATAAGTGTTTTAGAACATCCAGGTGGTCCGTACATCAACAACCCACGAGGTGGCTGAACACCAAGACGTAAAAAAGCTTCCGGATGTTGTAATGGCCATTCTATTGCTTGTTTTAGTTTTAATTTTAAATCATCCTGACCTCCAACATCAGTCCATAAAACCTAAAATATAAAGAAATCAAATGGGGTTTCAAGTTTTTTGAAATGCACTAAATGCCGTCTGGTTTCCAGAATACGTAAATAAAGCCTCTTCTGGGTCACCTTCATAATCAATATGTTAAATAAAATGACAGTTGGAATTCGATGTAGAGTAGATTAAAATGCTGTTGTCATGGAAAATTTCACTTGTATCGCACTTTATGGTGTATGCCCTTCTTCATTAGCAGAACAGTAGAAGGTTTCATTTCATTTCTGATTTTTCCTATCTAAAAAAATAAAATGGGTTTTAACTTTTCTACACCGACAGGGCTAATGACGACGGGCATACAGCATACAGTGTGCTATGAGGGAAATTTTGTTCTGACAGTAGATCTACGGCCTTCTCAGATTTCTATTTCCAAGTTACTAATTTCATAATTCTTTGTTTCAGTCATCAGGAAAAAACATCACTGAGTCTCACCTGTGGGACCTCTAGCTGTACTTCTCTCATGGCACTTGGTTTAACCAATAATAAAGCTTTATTTACATCCTCTCTACTTAAATGTATCACATCACTGTTACTATGGTTACAAGATGTCTGCCTTCTCACTGTTATTAGCCCAGCTAGAAATTAAAAATGTATGCATTCAGGATTATTTTAATTTCATCAGAAATCCCCAAATATAGACAATGCTTTTTATCAATTGCCTAATTTGATCTTTATCTATTTTATTTATTTCCACATATCATCTTAAAATAAAATAAGTATATCGGGCCCGGGGATCCAGAAAAAATGTGTACACAATTTAAAACGGAATAATTCAAAATGTATGATACTATATATCATTCACATTTCACATGTCGTACAACATGGATGTCTGACAGCTTCACTCCAAATTATAGGTCCATCACTCAAATAGTAGTACGAGTTCTAAAAAAGAATTTGGTCTTTTGTCTAAATACTAAACACGGTACAATTATCTCTTTGATCTCCATGACCTTTATTTTGGATATTGGCCTTTTCTGACATCATCAGAGGTCAATATTCGCCTCAACTTCATTTCATGCAACAACTTCTTAGCAGTCTATATCATCTATTACTTACCTTCTCTAAAGACAGCAGTCAGATCGGCACCAACAAATCCATGTGCTGTATTAGCTATATCAGTTATATCTTTCTCTGTCAGAGAGTGAGGTAGATTCTTTAACAACTTCTTTATTATCTACAGACAGAAAACAGTTTAAATATAAACAAATATCATACAACTAACTCAGTAAATCAGGACTTTCACTTTAAATGTTTGTCAGCCGGATTTCAGTTGGGGATAAAAAATCTCTATAAATATACTCTTATATATATATATATGTATATACTATTAGAGGTAACCAGTGTATGTTAATAACAGACCAATTGCCTAAACATGAACATAAACAGTTCATATGGGCGGCTTATCTGACGGCCCCATTTCACTTGCAAAGAGATACACTGTCAGATGTGAAAATGGAAGTTTTTGATTTTTGTCTTAATAATGAGTAATTGCTCCACCAATCCTCAGACATTCAGCAATTCGTCGTGGCATGCTCCTAATCAACCGTCGAATCATGATTTGGGGCAATCTGACCCACTCCTCTTGCAGTGCAACGACCAATTCTTACAGTGTTGTCGTTTGAAGTTGACGTCGACGAACACGTCTCCCGATCAAATTACACGTAACACACTGAACCAAAAATTCGCTAAACAGTAAATCGTATGCAAGAACCGATAGGAAAGCTAACATGGATAGGATAAACCAGCATGCGGCAGTTTTCATCAACCCTTCCTTGAAGTGTCAAATTTGACAATGAACCCCTCCCATGTGTATGGCTCAGTGGTTCTGTTGGGGCAATAAGTTCTTCATCTGTAAACATACTCTCAAAGCATGTCAAAGCATCACAATCTGCATAGGTATTTGCATTTCAATATCCCCTACTTTTTTTTAATAGTATATATACACCATTAATCCTTCTGTTAAGCCCATGCTCACTAATGATTCTCTAGTCTAGATATTATATAATTCTGGGGGTTTTAGCAGTGGGAGGAAACAAAAAGACCCAGAGAAAACCCACAAGGCTGGACAGGCGACCCCTTCTCCTAGGATCGTACAAGCAGGGAATCGAAACCATGGCACAACCACTTAGCTACTCAAACGGTGGTATTATCTATTTTGTACCAGTGGATAAAAGGCCATCACCAGAAACGTGCTGTTTTGTTCATTTTTATTTCTATCATCTATAAAACCAATTGATAACGAGCTGCCACCCGGAGCGTGTCCTGCAATAAATACTTTGATATACATGTAGTCCACAGAGTATCAGTGTGTTTCTAGGGGATTTTATTTTTGGATTATTTTCGAAGGATTGCTTCAGTCACTGAGATCCACACTGATCTGCACTGTTCCAGGGATTCTTCCACCGATGTTCACGCGTCGCAGTCTTGGAATTGTTTCATCTATAAAACAACTTACATCAAGTCTGTCTGTTGCTGTCGGAACACCGATCTCTATTTCTCTATCAAATCTACCTGGTCTACGTAATGATGAATCTATAACATCTGGTTTACTTGTTACACCCACAACAACTACATATTCTTTTTCATCACTCTATAAATATAACACACATTGTTATAATATAACTACATCACTCTATAAATATAACACACATTGTTACATCCACTTCATACAACCCTACTACATCACTCTATAAATACAATACACATTGTTACAATATAACTACATCACTCTATAAATATAATACACTTCATACAACCCTACTACATCACTCTATAAATACAATACACATTGTTACAATATAACTACATCACTCTACTACATCACTCTACAAAGCCTGGCGCACACTACGCGACGACATAGGCGATTTCGGTCACCGACGATGAAAAATTAAAAACTCGCCTAGTGTGCGCACTCGATCGCAAGAGATATTTCGTCGCCGATATCAGACCTGTTTGATATGATCGCCCAAGTCGTCGCTTCATCGGCAACAAATCGTGTAATGTGCTCACCTTGGCGACAAGTTAAGCGACAACTAAGAAAATAAATTCACCTATTAAACCAATCATTTTTGGTTATTCTTCTCATGTGACATAACCACACACGAGATTTCTCAGAATTTTTTTCTGTTGCATGTATAATATTAAGTGACTCGGGTAATCTAATTTAGCCCTAACTAACTAATTGAAATTAAGTTTGGAATTCTGGCAAAGCTGTCGAATACATATGATAGGCAATGTGGATTGTTCCGTCTATATAGCAATGTACTCAATAATAATATAGTCCTAGGATTCATGGATGGTAATTAGAATGGTTGTTTGTTTGGCAATGAGAGGATTGATTATATTTAGGATTCTCTGGAATATTTCTGGACTCATCCTCACGTAGCTTGTTTTTCTGTACATGCAAGAGTCGCCCAATTTGAGCTAGTTACTTATAATACTATAAACGCACTGCACTCGACGGGCGTTGTACTAAGACGGCTACGCCGCCTCCTGATCATCATGTACAAAACAATATTAATTGAAGTATTCAACGCGATGGCGACTAAAATGAATTTACAGGTGTCACATGACGAAGCACGTGACGGGGTGTTTTTCCGTAATCAGTTTCGTTTTGTTTCTAGCCTTCTACTACATACAACACTTTTTCATTATTCTGATGTATTTGTCCTGATTGGGTGACCAATGAAATAGCCTATATTATGCTGGGTTCCCACTGTCGTGTGATGCATTACGATAGGATTGTCCCTGTTGAGTCCACGATCTAGTACGTGCAGGTACTTTCGGATACATATCTATGACTGACCACAATATATGATAAGACCTGATAGGATCACTACGATTACCTGACGATTAAAACCAAGATTTCAAACATAGCGTGAATCATCATAGTGGGAACCTAGCATAAGTATGCTGTGCTGCATTTTGTGATGAATTATGGAAATCTTAAAAGCCAGTAGTTTAAGAATCAGAATGATAACTGAACTGAAAACCCAACTATTTCATAATCCCATTATGTGATGAATTATGGAAATCTTAAAACCCAGTAGTGTAAGAATGAGAATGATAACTGAACTGAAAACCCAACTATTTCATAATTCCATTATCATTGAAATAAGATAATCTAACCAATAATAGTTGAACTAAAAGTTACAGGGTACAATTTTTTAATATTTGTCATGGGTCTATAAACATGATGTCCTGATAATTTTATGTTAAAAAGTCCTATTTGTGAGGTACAGTGTTCTAGCTAGCACCCTTCGCTTAAAGATATTATATTCAAGATAATAATATTGTAAAACTGTATACGTACCAAATTAATGCCATCCATCAATGTTAGAAGAGTAGCAACAACTCGTTTCTCTAATTCTGATTGTGAATTTTCTCTTTTAGGACACAGAGCATCTATTTCATCAATTATAATAAGACTGGGTGATCTAGAATATATAAAATGAGACTGGGTTATCTAGAATATATAAAATAAGTCTGGGGGATCTGGAATATAAAATATTACATGTCATACAATGATGGATGAAGATGATATATTTTCAGATTCGATGCCGCGACCTTCAGTGTGGAAGACAAACACACTATCCAGTCAGCTACAAGGGGGCCCTACTGGGCATATCTAATAGGTAATCAATGAAATCAAATGGGGTTTAACATCAAAATTTCCCTCATAGCACACTGTATGGTCTATGCTAGTCTTGATTAGCCCAGTCGGTACCCTAAAGGAACTTGACTGTTAAAACTTACTTTTCTCTGGCTCTTTGGAATATATTTCTAAGGTTGGCCTCTGTCTCACCGAAAAATCTATAATAGAAGAAATGCATGCCATATTAAAGAAAAAAAAGATACAGAAACTACATTTTGTAGCATAATCTGTTTACATACGTACATTGCAGCTATTACTAAAAATACATTATGAAAGAGTGAGATATAGAGCTGGTAGTTCTTACTATAATAGTTTAAAAATAGATAATGAAAAATGAAATAACTGAAAATTTTATACTTTATTCTGAGCGAAATTATGAATGTTTGAAGTTTTGTCAATGATTTTCATTGTTACAATAAAAAACAAAGTTTTGATTTTCCATTTTTTTTTTATTAACCAATTAATTAATGCGGATGGTTTAATTTAATCCTAATCCAATTACTATTCAAGCCATCCGATGTAGTAGACAGATTTAGCTCTTACATAATGTACCTGAATTTTTACCCCATTAGTCAATTCATTTCAGCTCATTATTCTAACAGGATAAATTGGCCATGTCAAATTTTGGCCTTTGATTTACATACTTATACACACTTGATGATAGCATCCTGTGAAATCTGGTACTGCCTGTTTAAAGCAATCAATGGGTGGGTCAAGTGGTCGAACGCACTCTTTAAATCATAAGATCTGCCACTGAGTCAAGTGGCATGGTTTCAATTCAAAGCTTGTAGGAGTAGGGTCACCTGTCCAACCTCATGGTTTTTTTACAGGTCCTCCGATTTCCTCCCACTGCTTAAGACCTTTACGCAAAAGCTAATCATATTAAAATTAAACCAAGTTAGTCCCAAAATGACCTAGGTAATGTTGAGTGGGCATTAAACACCATTTGTAGCAATAAAATAATAGAAATGTTCCATTGATTGAACAATAAGATAACGTATATTACAGTTCTTATATTACATTTATAAGATCTTACTTGCTCCAGACTTGTGGCCCAGTAACATGGATTGTATGAATGTTGATTTCATTGACTAAAGCCCGAGAAAGAAGAGTCTTTCCTGTGCCAGATGGACCATATATCAGAATGCCATGAGGTAGGGACAGACCTAAAAAAAAAAAACAGAAAATAATTCATCTATAGATGTCTAAATCAGAACACCTGTTATAATTGTCAAAGATATTTAATTGAACGTCTGAGACATATTGTTCAAAAGGGATAGAAACCTTTAGGATTTGATATTTGGTCAGAATAATTTCTGAGAGTCATGGGGATATCTTATCTTGCTTTCCTTTGTAGTACAATTTGTCTTTACTGCGAAATTTTAATCTCTCATGTCAAAGCAGACTCCAGGAATAATCTTTTGAAGACATTCAATCTATTTATATTTTGGCGTTGCTAGTTGCATCCGCAAAATTTCCTAGCTTGAATTCAAGTGGCCCATTATAATATTTCACCTAACACATGTGGGTGTTGCCAAACGTTATAAATGCTATCTTTGTAAATGCTGAACCGAACTGAACTGATATTCCTTTTGGAGATTCAACTAGTTTACACAGGATTCAACTGGTTTAAAAAGAATTGAAATTCCTTCAAATGGCAATAAGTGGCTGTAAATGAAAGTGGGGGGAAACTGAAAGACCCGGAGAAAACCCACAAGGTTGGACAGGCGACCCTACTCCTGGTCATGTACAGGATAGGAATCAAAACCATGCCTCTTGACGCAATGACAGACCTTATGAGCTAAAACACATGTGTTAGCCCATTAAGCCATCCAGTCCCCTGTAAATTCAAATACATGTATATAACATACCATAAGCATTAAACAAATCTGGATTTTTAAGCGGAAGTTCGAGCATTTCTTTTATTAAACACATCTGTTTATCGAGTCCTCCAATATCTTTAAAACATAATTTTCTTTTTTCAATAGTTTTTCTTTTATCCTCATCTTTTTGTGAAGATTTAATGACAATTTTCGTTTGTTGACAAATTTTATAAAATGTTGTTTTGTGTGTTTTAACAGTGTGTGACTTTCTAGCACTGGGAGTGTGAAACTGGGAAGAATCTGGACGTTGTTTTCTGTTGGGTGTGCTTGCAGCAGGAGAATTGTCTCTATCAAAATCACTTTGTATTGAGCTTGTTGACTGGTTAAGCAAAGATTCACTGTCCAATGAAACGTCAGATATTTCTAGTGAAGCCATGCTTTCAGACAAGTCTCCTGTACATGTATCTCTTTTTTTAATTTCCACCATTTTGGTATTCGATGTTTCAGATGAAATCTTTTCAACAGTAAACTGACAAAGTTGTCCAAAATAATGCACTTCGATTTTATTTCCCTCTGCAGCATATTGACCATCTGAAATAAAAAATATTATTAAACATTAAATAACATTAACTATTAAATAACATTAAATATTAAATAACAAAACGTTACACAAAGAAATTGAAATGGAAATTAATATTAAAGAGATTGTTCACCGATCCAGTTTTACTCACTGAACCACAGCGGCACCCACTTCACATTAAATATACCAATGTATATAACATTAAACCATGTGTTCCAACTAGGCTATATATGTTGGTCGGGAGTCCAGAACCATTTTCCCTCAAATTTGTACACTCATATAATTCAATAAACCCACCTAATTTTAATTTCACATGCTGACTGAATTCTGTTTGACCATAAAATTCTTTCCATTCACTAAAATAGAAAATATCTCAGATTAGTTTATTAATTACCCAGCACCACAGACACTGGTTTAAAAATCCTGTCCTGAGATTATTATCAGCCTACCCCAAAATCTGATTCAAACCAAGGACATTACAGTCAAATTCCCAACCTGCACAATTACCATGCACCTCTATATGCATCATATGTAGTTTTAAAAAAATCCACAGTAGATATCAAAATATTATCTTTGAATAACATATAGAAGTATAACATTATAAAAACACAACTTTATGGATTTGCTGCTTCCAAGGTATTTTTATCATTAGTTGTAAAGTTGTGTTATTATGTACCATGATTCAGGAATAAATAAAAAAGTCATAAAACTATAAAAAGTAAACACGGACCACTCTGCTGACAGAGTGACAAAATGGTCTAATGTGCACTTTAGATTATAAGGTCTGTCAATGAGTCAAGCGAAGTGGTTTTCGATCCTACATTTGCACGTGACAAGGAGTAAGGTCGCCTGCCTAACCTTGTGAGTTTTCTCCGGGTCCTTCAGTTTTCTCCCACTGCTAAGACATGCTCCAGCGAATTATCTAAATAGTGTTGAACTTGTTAGTCCCTAAATGACCTAGTTGTGTCAAGTGGACGGTTAAACCCCATTTCTATCTCTCACTCTTTCTTTTTCTCTAGGCTTACCTGCTACATAGATAAATTTCCCCAGCATCAATACAATCACAAGACAGGGGCATCACAGACACAATATCTCCTTTCTTACTATTCAACTCTCTCATTATTTTATCTGGAACTGATAACCAGGCAACCGGACCAGAAGATGACGGCCATGCTGTTACAACCAGTCTCTCATCAACAACACAAGGCTTACCGATTCTTAGACCACACAGCTGCATAGCACTAGGATGTATACAGATAATTCTGTCTTTCATTGAATTTGGGACAGAAGAATCTGAAAAACATTTTTAAAAAGATAGAATAAATGAATAAAATGGGGTTTAACTGTTTAATACCCTGTATGTACTTTTCTGCACCGACAGGAAAAATAATGAAGAAATGTATTTAATTATGATTTCTGCCATAATGAAATACATTTGATTAATGCCAAAATCCATGTAAAAGTTTAAATTTGAACCAGAGGATGATCAGAGGTTAGCCTAATACCTGAAATGTAGTGCATTAGCCTATCACTCATTTTATTTAAGTTGTTATATCTTATACTCCAAAGACTATGGAATCAGTTTCCTTTTAGAGGAGCCAAATGGCTAATATTTGGGACCTAGACAATGGAAACAAATGGGTTCCAACGCATATAATAATGTACTGGTAATATGAATGTATATGGCGTCACCATTTGACATGACTTGTGGAATATGCCTAGCCTCTTTTTAGAGTCCCTTGTTACAAATGGTACTGAAACACATTCTGGTACATGAAGCCCATCTTTTCCCGGTAAGATCACAACATCAATATTTGATTTAAATTGACAAATAATTTGTGTTTTCAATGTCGAAGACTGTGGATGATATTGAGGTAGCCTACTTTAATATTCGAATGTCAAGATCAGTACCGGTAATTAATTTAAAAAAAAAAAAACAGACTATCACTAAGACTTTCTTATTTTTAAAGGTTTATAACAAATTTTAACCACTATTACTTTATTATTAGTAGGCTAATACTAATAGTATTACCGGTATTTATTTATTGTCTTTTTGTGTGTATTTTAGAAATAATTTTTTTAGTATTAACAAATTAACAGGTTCAATATGTACAATCAAAATTAAATAAAATGGGCTAAATTATAACCTTTATCTACTGATAGAAGGGAGACAACTCCATTTAACACGCCGTCAAAAATATACCCATGCTGATAATCCAGCGAAGTAGCATGCTTTTTCACGCCGCATAGTCCTGTATGATTATCTACATCGCGTTCGCTGATGACATGGTTACAGCACGAACATTCGTACCAATCCTGTCGTTTATTTTTATGTTTGGCCGGCATATCGTCTCATATAAACCGTAATTTTTGCAAAACAAGCAAAATATAAACACCACGGATAGAAATGGAAAGAGCCATGTGCTTCCGGTTTTGTAAATGAGAGCTTGCGTTGTTTGAGAAAGTGTGTTTTTTATTTTATTCTCTTTTCAAAGCTTTGCATTTCGAAGCTATGTTATGAAATAAATATTTTCAATGATTCCAATGTTTCTTGCGGTTCTTGATGCTTGCCTTCAGTGAAAATAGAAAGTTTTGCTCAAAGTAAATATTTGGTCACGTGGTCTTGAGGCGAGATTTTAGGTTACGGCCATTTTGGAATACAGAACATAAACGTTTTCAGTCACCTCTGAAAGTACACAACTAACTTTTACAATAAGACATATTGAATGTATGCACATTGATCTTCCGAATAATTACAGTTTAGTAGTCAGTTGTGCAAATAACAAGTGTGGGTGTAATCTAGTCGCAGGAAAGAGCAAGCTTATTTACTCCCAAAACATAAATTGGATTTCCGATTTGGGGAATTTAGGCCTAGTAGGGGCTGCCATCTCTTTTAGAATTTTTCAACATATATAATAGATCTAAATATAATATATAGTGATCTTAATTAAACAGCGAAAATGATTATTGAGGATATAGAATCATTAAAAGCGTGGATGACAAAAACTTTAACGCCAATGTAAGTTTAATCAGCAATTTTTTAGATGTGGGTGTACATGTGACATTGGAGATTGATTTTTAATTTTCACTGGCCTGATCTTTACAATGTGGCCACCACTCAGGCAGTGAACATCAGTTTTACCATAGCTATGTAATATCCTAAGTTATATATAATAATGGAGAAGGAAAATGTCAATGGATTCTATGTAGCTTGATAAAAACATTGTCATTGGTCTACACTCAGCAGATGTGTGTGTTTTGGGGTGGTTTTTTTTTTACATATGGATGGAGCAATATATTGGTGACCTTATGAAGGCATAATTATTTATACCTTTCTTTGCAAATTCGTTACTGATTAATTATTGGGTATTGTTGACTAAGACAGTTATATTAATCAATGTCTTAACTTGTTTTGATAAAGCAGGGTTAGTGGTGTAATGAGTGTGGCATGCTTTAGGCCGTAAGTTCTGTAATGTGGTGTTGCTTTTGATCCCACGCTTGTATCTGACAAGGAGTAGGGTCACCTGTCCAACCAAATGAGTTTTCTCTGGGTTTTTCGGTTTCCTCCCACTGCTAAAAGTAAAAGACCCGAACATGCAAGCTATTAAGTATTGATTGAAATATAACTGAACCATATGTTAGTCCCAAAATGACCTAGTTGTGTCGAGTTGATGATAAACCCCATGTCTCTCTCACTTGTTTTGATAGACATTATATAAACAATACTGATTTGATCTCATGGCTTAAAACATAATGAAGACAATCTGAGATTAACTCAAATGGCTTCTGTACTGGTACAATGTATGCTAAAATATGATATAAATAATGCATGGTTAATACTGTAATAGGCCTACATTGGTTTCATAACTGCACCTGTGTATTATACAAGAATTTGGGTAAATCGTACTAGCCCAATATGAGTACATACGTATGTGTAGGCCTGCTTGTCAATTTTCCACATGTAAAGTATTATTTCTTAATCTTAATGAAATTTCAACATTTCAGATGTGATGCTGACCCGGCAGCTTTGACTAGATATGTTCTAGCTTTATTAAAGAAAGATAAACCAGAATCTGAAATCAAAGAGAATTGTTTAGATCAGTTAGATGTTTTCTTACAGAACAGTAAGATTCTTTTTGTTATAAAAGTTTGTGGTATAAAGTTCATTTGAGGTAGTCAAATCATCATTTGACAAGTCGTTGTAGTCAAACACTGGTCACATTCTATAAAATCCTTTTCAATAGAAAGTCCTGTGTTTCAATCCAAATATTCTATGTCAGTATGCTATGAGGGAAATTTTGCCTACTCTTATATCAAATTTGTTCTGCCAAGGGATGTTCTACATGCACGTCAATGTGCACATGGAACCTCAGGTTTTTGTCCCATCCAAATGACTAAAACCTGTCCCTTGTCAGGCCCTCGGTCCCACTCCACTGTCAAGGAGGAACCAAGCCGGAAAATCCTGATGAACTTCCTCGACCAATGCAGGGATCGGTCACAGGAACTCAAGGTTGCTCACTGAGCCACCGTGGCTCCCATAGCTTTAAAGATTTTTCAAGCCAGATTGTCACTTGTCAGTAGTGTATACATTGTAAATATTGACATGCACGTAAAAGAGAGCTTTTGGCAGTTGAAATTTGAGAACAATTTAATGATGCGCTCAAAACCATCGGAATGGGGTTTCTCATGTCATCAGTCTTGAATTGACAGTAGGAGTGTTAACAGGACTTTAAACCCCACTTCAGCAGTTTATTGTTGCTGTCTGTAGTAATAAACCCAACCCCAGTCAGAGGTTTATTGTTGCTGTCTATATTAATAAACCCAACCCCAGTCAGAGGTTTATTGTTGCTGTCTATATTTATAAACCCAACCCAAATCAGCAGTTTATTGCTGCTGTCTATAGTAATAAACCTAACCCCAGTCAGAGGTTTATTGTTGCTGTCTATAGTAATAAACCTAACCCCAGTCAGAGGTTTATTGTTGCTGTCTGTAGTAATAAACCCAACCCCAGTCAGAGGTTTATTGTTGCTGTCTATATTAATAAAAATAATTGATATTTCAAGCTATTATTATTTTATGTTGATGAATTTCACTAAGACATATAAAACAAAATAATTGAGACAAACTTTCCACGAAACTGTGTTAAGAAAGAAAACAGTATTTGATATGCAGGTGTCAGGCGCAATTATTTTTAGGGTCGATATAATGTTAAATTTCTGCTTTGTCTTTTTTCTATCTTTAATATTATATTATATATCCAATTGGTATTTCAGAAACTGTAGCGTTTGTTGAATCACTGTTTACTGTAATAAAAGACAAGTCATACGTTGGTCTGTACGTGCCACCAGCCCCATCTGCTACTAGTAACACAAGTACAGAAGTCACTAGTGTACCATCTGCTTCCTCTCCAGCGGTATCCCAATCAACACCAGATATACAACAAGTCGTACCAGACACAACTAATACAGTAAAAGAACCGATAATTAAACATGATTCAAAAGACAGGAAGAAAGCAGATGATGTAAGATTATATTTTTATTAAGATGAAAGGGGGGGGGTAACGTATGTGCATTGTCTCATAAGGTCTGTCATTGAGTCAAGTGACGTGGTTTTAATCCCAAGTATGTACATATCAACAGATACATGCTGAAAACGCAACTGTCTGCTGATAACCAATGACCAGCTTATCTCTAGTCACGTGGCGTATGCCCATCATCATTATCCCAACTGGTGCATAAAAGTAAGCTGCTATGATCCCATTTCATTCCATGATGTTAAATCCAATGTGGTCAGATTCGTTAACAATATTGTTACATACACTTCTAATGATAATACAAGCATAGAATATACATCCTTGGTTAATCTTGTCGACTTTTCACCAATAACATTAGGATAAGGTTCCAACCTGTAATGTGGGAGGTGGGAGTACCATCTGTTTTTGTTCACTTTATGTCTTTTTTTCTGCACCAACTGGGTTAATAAAGATCGGTGTTCCAAGGAACAACTTAATTGTTGCTCGAGTTATAATGCATTTAGGGGGGGTTGGATGGCTGAATGGTTAGCGTGCGCGCGCTGTATCATAAAGTCTGTCATTGAGTCGACTGGTGTGGTTTCGAATCCCCGGTTGTACGTGACAAGGAGTAGGGTCGCCTGTCCAACCTCGTGAGTTTTCTCCGGGTCCTCCGGTTTCCTCCAACTGCTAAAGACCCCTACGCGCAAGCAAATTATTGAAATAAAATTAAACAATATGTTAGTCCCAAAATGACCTAGTTTGTGTCGAGTGGACGTTAAACCCCATTTCTCTCTCTCTATAATGCATTTAATATCTTATTTTACAGGTTGACAATCGTTCGAGAGATTCTCGACGTAAAAGATCTCGTTCCCGATCTCTATCCCGTTCAACTAGTCCCAGAAGAAGAGATAGGTATGTATGACATTTAAAATTTACTTTGTTATATTTCGTACATGAGCTCAATATACAGTATGACCTCCAAAAAGGGTGCTGTTCACAGTCTGGTCCCATTTTCACAATATAAGAATTGCAGATTTATCCATAGTCATGTATTATTAAACTGAGTTAGAATTAATAGATACATTTGCAATAGGTAGCAAAACGGTTCCCTCTCACAGTTAGATATATTTGTCACTCAAACAAAACTTTGTCTCATTGTGGATTTACCAGTAAAAAGATATGGTCAACATAAGTTAACAAAAAATAACTCCAAACCTAATACTGGCATAGCGTTTATTGAAGGTATTTATAGTACAGTAACAAAAAACAAACAGTAGCCACACTGAACTCAATCGGATAAAGATTTATGAAGGCAACTACTCATCACTCACTTCGAGATCCCAAGTTGGTCGAGAAGTTCTTCTGGTTTTTCCGGCCTAGTTTCCCCTTGTTGGTATCTAATACTTCAGATGGGACAAAAGAAACCAAGTCCCATGTGTATGTTGGATTTTAATTATGGCATATCTTTTTGTAGTGATGATAGAAGAAGACGATACGATAGAAATCGTTATTCACCACCAAGTCGTAGATACGGACGACGTGGGCGTTCTAGAAGTCCAGGTAGAAGATGGTCACCTGATCGGGATAGAAGACGTTCAAGAAGTCCTAGAAACAGATCACGTGATAAATCAAGGTCTAGATCACGATCGAGATCACGTTCTAGAGGTAAGGACTCAAATTTTTTTCAATATTAGTCACTTCATAAAGCTTCTCAATTTCAAATAATTTTCAAGGGAACTACTAAATACCCTTTTTTTCATTCTTTGCTATGTCTTTATTATTTGCCGCCAAACAAAGTTAAGGATATTAAAATGGTAGTAAAATCTTGTAATGTAACTTTGCGTGTTTATGATATCGTAATTGTTATTGATAGGGCTGTGTTGTGTTATTCAATGTGTAGAGAGACATGGTAATATTGAACTGCCATTCTATTCAACTGGACTGTTTTTGATTTTAAAGGGAGACAACCAGATAGTCGTGGATCAACACCGACACAAGATAACGGAAACTACAGTAATATTGTTACAACGAATACTGGGTCTCGTATACCCAGTTCTATAGCTGTTGTTACCAGTAGTGATGACTTAAGGAAAGAGACTACAGGAGCAGGTCCACGATGTCGAGATTATGATGGTGATTACATATAATTTAATTTGATTTGATATTTATCAGGGTTTTATTTGACGCTAAATTGATGGAACTGGATATATATATATAGAGAGAGAAATGTGGTAGAACATCCTCTTGACACAAGTTAGGTCATTTCTGAACTGACATGAACCAATTTTATATCAATAATTCGCTTGCATGTAGGGTTTTTAGCTGTGTGGAGGAAATCGGAGGACCGAAGAAAATCCACAAGGTTGCACAGGCGACCCTACTCCTTTTAGTAAAGTTTTTTTTCTGTAAATAGTGACAAAGTTATCAGTAATTAATTACTTACATTGCTAAAAAAAACTGAAAGTAATTGGAATGATTATGGTACATTTAAAAAGTAATGTTAATGTAATTTCTGGCATTTTCAATGGACCCTGATCTGAAAATAGTCCACTGTTTGTTCACAGTTGTCCCCCTTCAACTATAGTTTATGAGGATGCTCGATTGTCAGTCCGGAACGTTCCGAATTGACAGAATTTCAATCATTTGATGCAGAATCTAGTCCTGTCACAATTCTGTCAGTCCCGAGACAACGAAGGTGGTGTGAGTAATTAAGCACAACGAATATGTTTCATCTGTCATGGTTGGTTGAGACATTTTCTCTTGCAGTCGGCGCATGCGATCTAGTTCAAATTCCCATTTTCACTCAATTGTCACTAATTTGGGGATTAACGGAATTCAATTCCGGAACGTTCAATTGAGCATTCCCTATGAATGTTGATCTGCTAAATTGTTTTTTTTTTAATAATAATTTGTAGAGAAAGGTTTTTGTATGCGAGGTGATCTATGTCCGTATGATCATGGTGTTGATCCAGTTATTGTAGAAGATAGTGGAATACCTTGTGTTATACCATTTCCACCCCCTACATCAGGTGAGTACATTGGTTGGCTTTTGTCAAATTCCAAGTTGTTTGAATTACATGTATTTTGAGCTTGAGTACCTCAGAGGACCTGAATCTCAATCATGGTTTGTCGCTCTTCTTGCAGCTAACAATCACTCTTCCTTATTTCCATCTTTTGGAGATCTAAAATCTTTGCCTTATGAATGATTGAAATCCCTCTCTTTTTTATGGTACAACTCATTAGTTCCAAATAGCTATTGGTAGGAGAGATAATAATGACTTTTTTTAACTAAGATTCATTATATTATTATTATTATTATTGTTCGATTTATATAGCGCTTCATTACACGTGAAGTGTTTGTAAGCGCATATCACAAACATATACTTCAAACACACAGAAACAATCAAAATCAGGAGAACATAATTAAACACAGTTGCCTGTTAGGCGCTATTATTCAAAGGTTTATATCCAACAAATCAACCGGCTAGTCCATATATAAGATTTAGATAAAGAGCCTGCCTTTATCGTTATGAATGTTATGTCTAAAGAAAATTATTTTATATAATATTTAAAGCCAGATAAAAAACCTACAATAGACATTTCGCTCTTCTATAAAAACATCTTGAATAAAATAAAATAATGACTTAAAGATTCTGTTTTTGTAGATATAAATATTCTGTTTATTGTCTGTCCCATATTAGCAATCTTCATGAAAATAAACAATAATGATGTTGATGTGAAAAAGTTGTAAATGTACAATAATCTTTTAAAATATTGCCATCTAAATGAAAAATTAATGTAATAATTATTTGATTATAGGACCACCCCCTCCAGGACTTCCGCCACCACCTGGAATGCCACCAATACCTGCTGGTCCACCACCAAACTTCTCACATCCTCCACCACCTATCAGACCAAGACCTCCTATACCAACAGGTAAGTTAACCCTCTCTGACGATGTCTATTTCTGTAACTTGATATTTATCAGCCATCTTTATAAGCGACAGTTGTATTAACCCTATAGAACTTGGTGCATGTTAATATTGGCTGATATTATCAATTATTGATCGGCGGATGGTCAAGAATTATCGCTACTTGAAAACAGTATCGATAGCCAGCCCTAGTTGTTGGGGATGGTCTAAAGAGCCCTAGTTACACCGATTTCTAACGGGAAGGTCTAAGGAGCCCTATTTACAGTTCAGACGGTTAATTTTAATCGCCAGGGTTTTTAACACAGGATCGTGTTGCGTTCACACGTACTATAAGCCAAACCAGTTTAACTATTCTGACCTCTTCGGTAGGAGGTTAGAGTTAACTATGCATGGGTAGCTTTAAATTCTTTATTTTGTTCTCGCACACTTTTGATAACACTAGCACTGGCTGACACTGTAGCCATGGTTTTTAAGCCAACCCGTTCAGACAGCCAAGATGAACCAGTTTGAAATAAAAAACCTCTGAGCTGGGTTTTTTAAACTGGTTTATTTGCCCCACATTTGCGTTCAGACGACAAAGTTAGACTGGTTTAACGATCCCCAGGGTTTTTAAACCAGTTTAACTTAAGCATCTGAGCAGCCTACTAGTTAAAGTAATTTCTAATAAGAAGGTCTAAGTAGCCCAAGTTACAGGGGTTTCCAGCTAAAGGGTTAAAAGCACCAGATTGACAACAAAGGTATTTCACATGAAACCACAACAGATGAAATTAGCTTGGCCTCTTTTGTAATAAAAATCCATTGTTGAGTTTCGTATTGATATTTTAAAAATGTTAAACATTGTTTGCTTCATATTGTTTTCCTTTGAAGTCCTGGGCATTAATACGAGCCCTGATGAATTCAGGAAGTTTGCAAGCTGTCAAGATGTTATGGCAAGAAGAATCTGTACTTGAGTAGAACCTTTGTATTACTGTGTTGATTTTGATCATGTGTAGGATCGATCTCTCAACACAACAACATATTAATTTCCTTTTTCAAAATGACCAAACTTTATAATGAATAGTGTTAACAATTAAACTTTATATTCCAGAAGTTTATAATCCTGAAGCACCCGGTCTGACAGCTCCCCCCCGTCCACCATTTTGGCCTAGAGGACCTAGACCACCGATGTCTAGGCCTCCAGGACCTCCACCAGCAGTATTTTATAATCAGCCTCCACCGAATTCATTGACCGGCCAACGACAGAGAGATTTGGTTCAAGTTCAAACGATGCCAGAGGAGTCTGAAGGTAGAAATAACCTCCAGTCTTTCTCTGTAAATTTATGCTATGTCTTGATAGAGCGTGTCGTACAAGGTCACATAGTGTCAAAATATTTGAGCTAAAGTGGTTTCATCATTAGTGATGGCTCAAGTATGCTATACTTATGACCTGCTAGCTTTTACTACAAGATATTCACTTAATCAACTACCGGTGGCACCAAATGATCTTGACATATACGATTGAAAACTCATTTTTTACGCTAAAAACTCTGCGCTAAAACACACTTGTAAACAGCTTGTAGACATTATGATAGAAGACTATCAATTCTTTTTGAATATCTGAAATCCAGGCTTTGCTACATTCATGTTTCAAGATAGAAATTATATACTTGAGAGAGAATTTCCAACTTCGTAATCTTTTTAACTGGATAATAATAAGCTATAACACAGCTACTTATGGAAAACAGCTACTAATTTATTCTAAACATTTTTCAGCTAATTAGTAAATGTTTTCCATAAGTATCTGTTATAGTTTATTGTTCTAACTTGATGGGAGCCTCAGTGGTTCAGTGAGTAAGAGAGCTCATAGCACACTATATGGCGTATTACCGTCTTCATTAGCCCAGTAAAACGTTAAACCCCATTTTATTTCGTTTTTAACTTGATGTTTTATTAAAATAATTTTTTTCTAGAATCACCAGAAGGAGGAAAAGATCCAGCAGAGAAATCGTCGTCGATTGAATCTCGTGTTGTAGTACCATCTAAGAGAACGTACGATATGATAGAACAATCAGCCGATACACATACTGCCGCTACAGCACCTAAAAGACATTTTGACTTTGCAAGACTTGGTGGTAAGAATGAGAGGCATTTAGTAACTGGATAAAGTAATAAAACTATAACAGCTATGATATATCTATTCGAAAACTATTCTCTCAATGTTGTCAAGTATGTGTTATAGTTCATTGATAGTTCTTGGTATACAAAAATGTACATTACCCCTTTTATTTTTTGGATAGATTCAAATGTAAAAAATAAAATATACTGCTAGAAATTAGAAGCCTTGTTAAGATTGGCACTGGCTCACTAGTGCTGATATCAAGTATCGATGCATCGATTCGGCCGACGCCGATTCGATTCTCGGTCCTTTTTTGTATTATCGATGCATCGGTAAAAAAAAGAATAATTAGCTTTATGTGTCCGAGGAGTTCACAAGTTCTTCCACTAGAATAAAAAAAACACCTTTTCAATATGTTTTTATAATTCAAAATAAAACAATATATATGTAACGGAACAATTCAATGAATCCCGCACAAATTATTAGGCTTGACCTGTTTTAAATTACCCTACGCTTCCGTTATGTTTGTCTCCATTTTCCAGTGACTACAAAGACTGCGTTTGCTGGTTACGTCCCCTGGCTATCGTGTCCTTTAACCCCAAGGTCAATTTCACGGTTCATTTAAATGACCAAACGAACTGTCAGAAGGATAATATTTTGCGGCCGGTTCTGAACGCTAGTTTTGAAACGATTCAGTCTTATTTTCTGCCACGAGCAATAGGGAATTCATAAACCCCTATAGACAGGCTTTGATACGATCCGTATAAATAATGCAAACGCTGTCTCTTGTAATCCCCTCACCCCTCACGCCTTCAAAACAAATTTGAACAATGGCTAACGAGTGTCAATTGAAGTGAATCGGACGATATAAATGTCATAATAAATAACAGAAGAATATTGTGGAAATAAATTTATTCAAATAAATTGACATTTCTATAATAGGCCTAATGATAATGTTAGGGAAATTTATGTTTCTATCAGAAATACTAATGTTATTTCTGTAATTTTTGATTAACAAAATGGCGGCAAATTCCCGATGCATCGATACGACAATCGATGTTTGCGTCCGATGCATCGATGCGTAAAATTTTACTTGATATCCGCACTATGGCTCACTAATCAGGATATCTCTTATACATATGATTAGCAGCATGTTAAGAGATCACCTGCTGTCTTTTGATAATCAAATAAGAGTAGGCCGTAGCACTGCTGTAGGGGCAAAATTTCCCTCGTAGTACATTCCATCTTCATTAGCCCAGTTGGTGCAAAAAAGTAGGACGTTAAATATGTATTATGTAAGAGCTAAATCTGCGCATGGCAGGTCTTTATTTTGACTTCAAATGTTATATAAATTATTATTTAGACATTTATCCCTTGGTCATTGGATCGACAAAAAAACAGATTAGAAAAGCCGCAAGATTTAAATAAACGATAATATTGTTAATCGAGACTAAGTCAAATACTGTTGCTATGATAATAAGCAATCTACACTACATTTTCAAACTTCACTGAGAATAAAGAAATTTGAATGAAATTTTCAGTATATACATTTTTCTTTATCTATTTTTGAGCTATTAAAGCGAGAACTGTCAACTCTTTATCTAAATCTTACATAATGCATCGTTAAAACCCCTTTTCAATTATGATAGAAATTATTTTGTATTAATTAATATGTGGTATAAAGTTACTGTGGATGTTCTATTTATAGGTTATAGAAAACCCAACCCCAATATGGAGAATAATTGTCTAGAAGTTCGTAAAATTCCACGGGATCTTAACAATATTGCTAAACTCAACGAACATTTTGGTAAATTTGGAACTCTAACAAATATTGCGGTAAGTAGATTTTAAAGATAATTATTTTGTCAGGATGAATAGTAGTGAATTTATAATTAAGTATGTCTAGTTGCAATGTTGGTCCCGGTCTGTTGTATACAGACAACCTCTCTCCAGGAGATCTATTATGACAAAGATCAAATCCTGTCTTTGTTAGCCCAGTCGGTGCAGAACTGTTGGAAGTTAAACCCCTTTTCATTTCATTTCATGATAAAGCACAAATTGTAAGCATTGGCTGATGAAACTTCTGTGGCATCAAACTATTTCACTTTTGCATTACCAGTAAGTGGGGGTTTAGGCATCTTCAATAGAAGGCTTGATCTCTCTTTAACTACGTACATCTTATTAAGGCCTTCATGTAATACCCTGCATATTTCGGTACTAATTTCGATTGGGTACATATTCAGAGTCCTCGATCGTCGCGAATACCAAGTCTCGCACTTTCAAGCTAAAATGTTTACTTGTGATAATCGAGTTGCAGAGTTCAAGGTTCGTTCAATGTCAAGATTTTTCCGTGGAGTTTGCTATGTCACAACCTCACGAAATGACCTAGTTTGTGTTGGTATAGACAAGGGGGACATTAAACCCCATTTCATTTAATTTTTAGAATATGAGGAATATTGACAGGGTAACAATGTAATTCTCTATGATATATATTATATTTCCTGGGAAATCTACTGTTTTCCTCTAATAAAATGTTCATAACTTATTACCTAATATATCTAGACATTTGATTTTGTACACATAAACTCATAAAGACCCCTACGTGCAAGCGAATTATTGAAATAAAATTAAAACCATGTGTTAGTCCCAAAATGTCGAGTGGCTGTTTGTGTCGAGTGGCCGTTAAGCCCCATTTCTCTCTCTCTTTCTCTCTCTCTAGACAGTGATGTATTTATCCAAACATCTGCCAAATTTCAATAAAATCCATACAATAGTTTAGAAAATAGATTTTTCGTCCCATGTCTTATCATAAAATCTTGTAATTAGATTTGTTTATTTTAATTTACAGATTAATTATGAAGGTGACCCTGAAGGAGCTTTGATTACATATTCTGGTAACCAGGCAGCGTTTAGTGCATATCGTAGTAGTGAACCAGTATTTAATAACCGTTTTATCAAAGTCTTTTGGCACAAGAAATCTGAGGGAGGAAATTCCAACATGGCTGCTGGGAGTGATATGACAGGCAATGCTGACACAGCACAGGTAGGTTTATGACACATTTTACATATTAAAAACTGGTAATACAATTGTGGTCAAGGCAGGGTGTGCATTTAGTTTTTAGAGCACCTGTTTGATACAAAACTCCATTTGTAGCATGATCTATTTCATCATGTCAAATACTAGAAACAGAACACAATTTTTATGGGAAATCAATATATCATTGGTTTTTATTCTAAAAGCACAATGTTTCGACACGTATCCTCTGACATTTAGTAAACTAGAGGTCAATATATATGATATTCATCTGATGCCAATTACAGAGATTAAATAACAGTGATAAAATTACCTTTCAGGTGGCATTATGTTCATGACATAATGATTCGGAATTATTTCATGCCATGATTTCAGATTTTCTAGAAATGTATATTATTTTTATGGAATATGAAAAGTATAACAATGTCAAAGTTAACAACAGTACGATTTTCAAATTAAGCTAATTCTTTAAGTTTAAATTTTTATTTAGATACCAAATGAGGAGCCAAGATCATTAAAATCTCGTTTAGGAACTATTCCACATCCTAGTAAAATGTCCTTAAACAATAAAACTAAAACAGACAAGGTATGTATTCTGTCCTCAGTACTTATATTGATAACAATTTGATTAGTCAAAAAGTCCAGGTGAGACAATCCAAAATATAAATACAATTAAGGCAGCGTTGTTTACTGGATCCCACTAAAAAAAAATATTCCTCTTAAAGATGACAAGAGGAAATGGGGTTTAACATCCTACTTTTATGCAGCACATGAGCTAATGAAGACTTGGATTGTCTGGTGTGGTTTCCCCTTCTCAGTGATGCAGGATAGAGGGCCTGACATGGAAAGCTGTCTACCGTTGGGATGGGACGGAAAACCGAGGTCCCATTTACACATTGGCGTTCATGTAGAAGATCAGATCTCTTGGCAGTTGGAATTTGATATAAAAGAAGGCCGTAGTGCAGCTGTTCAGGCAAAATTTACCTCATAGCATTGTGTATGGCGTATGCCCGTCTTCATCAGCCCAGTTGGAGCAGATCAGTAGGACGTTAATCCCCATTTCATTTATAATGAAAACTGGCAGTCGCCATGAACTGTGATTTTAGGAAAATTTGGCCCAAGTTTTCAACTTGCAAGACATTTATAACAGAATGATACATAAAAATTTGTTAAAAGTGTATTATATTTTGTAAATGTTTTGTAGGATATCGTCTATACATCGTCTGTGGGTAGTTTGAAGAAAACTGTGTTTAATCCAACAGCAAGTTTAAAAACATCAAATGCTTTATCTAGTCCAACAGCGGTAGGATCGGCTGACTTTGTTAAACGAATTGAAGAAATCAAAAGGAAGGAAGACTTAAAACAGGTAATATTGATGAGTTGTTTGGTGATCACCAGAGTCTCACATTTCATTTCAAACATGCATTACCTTGTGTGTGTGATTATCTTGCCCAATTTAGTCATACCCAGCTGATATATCATCTATATATCTCGGCCGATTTAATTTAGTAAATGGAAGATTATATATATTCCATGTAAATGTTTGTTACGTTTTATTGTGCTGAATCTCTAAATACCACTCAAAGGTTATTTCACAATATTGTAGTTACCAAGGAATTCAAAATCCCCTAAAATAACTATCAGTAAGGATTCAAAATACCTCAAATAACTATCAACAAGGGATTCAAAATACCTCAAGTAACTATCAGCAAGGAATTCAAAATACCTCAAATAACTATCAGCAAGAGATTCAAAATACCTCAAATAACTATCACTCCGCAAGGAATTCAAAATACCTCAAATAACTATCACTCCGCAAGGAATTCAAAATACCTCAAATAACTATCACTCCGCAAGGAATTCAAAATACCTCAAATAACTGTCAACAAAGATTCAAAATAACTCAAATAACTATCAGCAAGGAATTCAAATCCTTTAAATAACTAGCAGCAAAGATTCAAAATACCTCAAATAACTATCAACGACTTTGTGAATAAATGTGACGATGCAGACTGACTCAATTATTGTCGTTATTCATGATGCAAAGTATTGTAATCTCATGAATATCCAACCTTGTGGCTTTTCTCCTAATCCACTGCTAAAACATCCTACAAATAAGCCAATTTTTGAAAAAAAATTGAAGCATATGTTAGTCCCAAAATGACCTAGTTTGTGTCATTTCCCTCTAACTTTCCTCATGAAAAATATTGAATTCAGAAATGTTTTATTGATATATTTTCAGGAAGCTCAAAAGAAGAAAGTAGAAATTCAGAAACAGAAACAGTATTTATTAGAGAAGGAAATCAATCAGCAGAAGGTAAGGACAGTTCTATCATAACAGTATAATCAATCTGTTTAGTCTAAATCTAGATTTCTTAGGACATACAAAAAAAATATTCTGGTTTTCAGACAATCCTTCCAAACAATCTGATAGGGAGGTTTTTATTTTTGTGTTTTTATTTTGTCAAAGGATCACTGGGCAAAATGAATTCTCACATCCTGTTTCAAGGTACTACATGTAAATTTATAGGAATGTGTGATTATTTAGTATCATTCATGATTGCTAGTAAGATTTATCAGAGTTCCGTACGCTTTAAATTTTGCTTCCTGCAACTAAGGAAAATTACATGAGGTAATTAATAAGATTGCTTTTAGTTTTTAAATCAGATTATTATTTTGGGTTTGTTTGGCCTTATTTGATTGTTTATTTGCTACATGGTTCTCAATTTTATTGTCCCCCGCCTTTCGAAGAAAGCAGGGGACTATTAAAATGGGTTCGTCCGTCTGTCCGTCCGTCCGTCCGTCCGTCCGTCTGTCTGTCCGTCTGTCTGTCCGTCACACTTTTTGGGACACAATAACTCTCTTCCTAATTGAGCTAGAATGTTCAAACTTGGTGTATGTGTTTATTAGGTCAATGCCTTGATGGAGTTCGAAGATGAGCATTTTCCGCTTAGGGTAAGCAGAGATAAGCAATTTGATTGGTTGATGCTTTGGGACACGATAACTCTCTTCCTAATTGGGCTAGAATGTTCAAACTTGGTGTATGTGTTGATTAGGTCAATGCCTTGATGGAGTTCGAAGATGAGCATTTTCCGCTTAGGGTAAGCAGAGATAAGCAATTTGATTGGTTGATGCTTTGGGACACGATAACTTTTAATTGAGCTAGAATGTTCAAACTTGGTGTATGTGTTTATTAGGTCAATGCCTTGATGGAGTTCGAAGATGAGCATTTTCCGCTTAGGGTAAGCAGAGATAAGCAATTTGATTGGTTGATACTTTGGGGCACGATAACTCTCTTCCTAATTGAGCTAGAATGTTCAAACTTGGTGTATGTGTTGATTAGGTCAATGCCTTGATGGAGTTCGAAGATGAGCATTTTCCGCTTAGGGTAAGCAGAGATAAGCAATTTGATTGGTTGATGCTTTGGGACACGATAACTTTAGTTCTAATTAAGTGAGATTGATGAAACTTGGTGTATAGTTTCATTACAGTAATACCTTGACTAAGTTTGATAATGAGCATTTTCTGCTCAGGGTAAGCAGAGCGATACGCAATTTGATTGGTCGAGACTTTGGAAAACAATAACTCTCCTACTTTGATTGTTAGACTATAAGTAAAGATATACTGTTTGATTGTTCAATACTTTGTAAAAGATAATTTGTGATAAATTTATATGTGTCCTCTAATTATTTTCCTATTTCGGCAGGGGACATCAGCCTCACTGTTGGCTTGTTTTATTTTTTGTATAAGTTGTAGTCGAGATATTGCTGCTTTGCTATCTTATTTATATTAATACAAAGATATTGATGTTAGATAGAAAAAGTTTCAATGAATTAACTGGATATGGAACAAATATTGTAATTTCTTATACCAGTCATACAAATGAAATGAAATGGGATTTAACGTCCTACTGTTCTGCTGCGACTGAGCTAACGAAGATGGGCATTTGCCTTAAAGTGAGCTATGAGGGGAATTTTTCCCAGACAGTGGCACTACGGCCTACTCTTATATCAAATTCCAGCTGCCAAGGGATCTTTTACGTGCACACCAATGTGTATAATTGACCTCAGTCTTCCATCCCAACCGAACAACTATACGTTTTCCCTTGCGTTGACCTCTGTTTGGATATGCCCCACACAGCCAAAATTTTCTCAATTAAAAGTTGTATAAGCTACAGCAAATGTGCACTCTTTAGTGACTTAGTGACTAGTCTCAAACTGATTTCTGGCTAGTCACACAGTGCGAGAATACTGGGCAGTATAGTCAATGATGCTATAAATAGCCATTGCACATGAAATCTATCAACTATTAAAGCCTTAAAAAATCTATTGTTAATGATTCTTAATAATAATATTTCTGATTCGCTGTTACAGAAGCTTTTGAAAATTACGTTCGTTTTGTTTTTTAATTTGCTATATTATAAACTATACCATACCATTAGGAGCAGCATCTTTTGGTTTAATAAAATAGATATCTCTGAATCTCCTTTGTTTGGCAAGAATAGCGTACTAGTTGTATCTTCCTTTTATTTTTATATGGTGCTCAAAATAATCGTTGAGTTGCCTAACGAGCATGTTTCTAAATTAGATTTATTGATCTAGCTTTCTGTAATGTTTCGTAGAAAATAGTAGTGATTATCCCAACATGTTAATCAGTCGGAGTACAGTCAGTAGACTGGTTAAGACTGGTTAAGAGGGATTAATCTCATATCAAGGGCAGATAATCTGTTTTGCATTAAAACTTTATAACTTGTTAAATACAACACAACCATTTATTTATGGACTATGAATGTGAGGTGGTATATATACTTATTGTGGTATAATTGTCGAAATTTTTTGAGATATTGGGAGATATTAATTTATGGTGGGCCACCCTACCTCTGTTCTATAGCACTGACAAGGGGAAACCACGCCACAAAATCTGGATGAACATTCTCGGTCCAATGCCAGGATCGAACCCCCGACCTCCAGGTTAGCGAGCCAATATCTCACCCGCCCAGCTACCGTGGCTCCCACCAGTGTTATAGATTATGCATTACCGGTATTTATTTTTTTTCAGGTTTTGATAAAGAAATTGGAGGACAACAAAACAATGAGTGCTGACGAAAAATCTGTTATTATGAATGTAAGACTCATTTTATTATATAACTAAAAAAAAAGATATATATGTCTAAATATAAATAAATGGTTAGGTGGCCAAATGGTTAACTTGTGCACGTTACATCATAAGGTCTGTCATTGAGTCAAATGGCATGGTTTTTATTCCCTAATTGTACATGACAAGGAGTAGGGTTGCCTGTCCAACCTTGTGGGTTTTCACCGGATCCTCTGGTTTCCTCCCACTGCTAAAAACCCCTAAGCGCAAGTGAATTATTAAGATAAAATTGAACCATATGTTAGTCCTGAAATGACTTAGTTTGTGTCAATTATTAAGATAAAATTGAACCATATGTTAGTCCTGAAATGACTTAGTTTTTGTCGAGTACGTTAAACTCTCTCCCTCTCTCTCTCTCTATGGTTAAAAAAAAAAAAAAAAACCCACCTATTTCTGATGCTCCACTGTCCTGTCTTGAGAACTCTTAGTCACTTTTCAATAGTTCTTCTTATCCTTGAAGCATCGTTATTTATAGAATGTTATTTGATATTAAATTATTTTGATTTTTCAGCAATTAAAGCTATTAACAAGAAGTATAGAGAAACTGAAAGTAGATTTATTACCACCAAAAACAACTTTTAAAAACCCAGATGAAGTAAGTCAAACATTTAAACCATTAAATAACATGAATTATTGCATATTTTATTTCTATACATTTTAAAATGATCATTACAGTAAGGCAGGCATGATGATAAAAAAAATATTTAGTCTTAATATGACCTGTTATATGAAATAATAATATTAAACGTGGTATCTACAGGTTGGAAAGAATGATGCTTTTTTATATGCCCACATTTTCCTGTGGACGTATATTGTCGTTGGCCCTGTCTGGCCGTCCTCAATTTGTTTGTGGATACTCTACATGTTTCAATTTTTTTCTGATTTTGACGGAACTTGAAATATAGGTTTATCTCCCAAAGATTTAGGTTCCTTTCAAAATTGGCAAGTAACTCCATGGATTTTTTAGCTTGTGGACACTCTAGAGGTCACAATTGTTATCCGATTTTGATGAAACTTGAAATGTATAAATTTTAAATTTACCTCCAAATAATATGAGCTTTATAATATTAACTGTTTTATTGGTAGGCTCGAAAAGAAATCTTGGATACAGAACTTGAATTAATCAATAAACAGAACTGTGGTGGTGATACAACAGCTTTACGATTAAAACTCACTCAATTAACTAAAGAGGTATGATACTTTAACACATGAAATAACAAACACTGGTGATTGTTTTGAGGAATTATTACATTGGACAATTTACGTGGCAACTACTCTGTACTCTGTTTTATGAAAGAAAACAAAAGAGTGCATTAAAATTAATGTGATTTCTTGTGTTACAGTATATTGACACAGAGTCTTATCAGAGCCTAGTCCATTCCCATATCCCTGGTATAATCCAGACACATTAAAACAATCAAAACTCCACAGTTTGACATAAATTTGTTCTACAAGTCTTCAGATCACTGTTAAAATGTATTCTCAATATATTTTCTATGGATCACATATAAAAATATATTTTAATTTATTTTCAATAAATATACTTTATCACAGGCTCAGTCATTGGGATTATTTGGGCGAGGTCGTGGTAGAGGTGTCAGAGGTCGTGGAATGAGGGCTAGAGGGGTCAGAGGTCGAGGAGGATATGGTCGTGGAAGAGGAGCAAGTGGTTCAATGACCTTAGATCACCGACCTAAAGTATTGGAAGTTACAAATTTTGAGTTGAGTGAAAAGGAAGAAATCAAAGCTCATTTCAGTGTATGTATAATTTTACTTCTTATAAACATTGGGGAGCTGCAGAGGCTCAGTGAGGGTTTGGCTCACCAATCTTCCGGTCACAGGGTTGTGCGATAAAGGAACCCATGATTTTTTAGGCATGGTTTTCCCTTGTAAGTAATGCAGGAGAGTAGAACTAGTCTTTTGGATGGGAGAGAAACATAGGGTTCTGTTTAAACATAGGTGTGCACGTAAAAGAACCCCTGACAGTTGGAATTTAAAATATGACTAGGTCACAGTGCTGCTGTCAATGCAATATTCCCCTTATAGCACACTGTATGGTGTGTGGCCATCTTTATTAGCTTAAATAGAGCAGAAAAGTAGGACGCTAAAATCCTTTTTATTTCTAAAAAACAAAAATATCAAAAAATAAAATAGGGGGGGGGGGCTGCAACAATTTCATTGAGTAAAGTAGCATAGTTTCAATTCCCTGTGTGTACGTGACAAGGAGTCGGGTCGCCTGTCCGCAAGCAAATTAATGAAATAAAATTGTGTTAGTCCTGAAATGACCTAGTTTGTGTTGAGTGGATGTTAAACACTATTTCTCTCTCTCAAAAAATAAAATATCTATGTGACTCCTACTTTATTAGAGTTTGTGACTATTGATTCATCATACAGATGGGAAAAGAAATATAAGGTTTACCTTTGGATATAAACGAACCTGTAACTGTTGGCAAATTTGTCTTGCTTTGTTCACTCTCTCTTTATTAATGAGGGGGATCACGTGGCTAAGCGGGTAACGCGCTGGCTCGCTAGTCTGGAGGTCGGGTGTTCGATCCCTGCATTGGCCGAGAAAGTTCATCCAGATTTTCCGGCGTGGTTTCCCCTTGTCAGTGATGCAGGACGGAGGGCCTGACAAGGACAGCTGTCTAGTCATTTGGATGAGACGAAAAACCGAGGTCCCGTGTATACATTGGAATGCACGTAAAAGATCCCTTGGCAGTTGGAATTCGATATAAGAGTAGGCGATAGTGCCACTGCCCAGGCAAAATTTCCCTCATAGCACACTGTATGGCGTATGCCCGTCTTCATTAGCCCAGTATAGGAGCAGAACAGTAGGACGTTAAACCCTATTTCATTTCTTTATTAATGAGACTAACCATGTTAATCTCAAAATCTGGTACTGTAGTAAAGTGTTAATACCTATTCCATTCTTTGACGTATTTTACCATATGTTATTCCTGAAATGATTGGACGTTAAACACCATTACTCTCCCTTTTTGAGGTATTGATTATGTTATCTATATTTGCTATTTCTAAATCAATAACATGGTCTGGTTAAACTCTATTTATTTATCATCTGATAATTTGAATGTTAATAGATTTCTGTAAAGTTTGTATTTTCTATATTTTGAAGCAATTTGCACCAGTAGAGAAATGTGAATTTCTTGATGCTGTACCCAGTGCCATTATAACATTTACTACCAGAAAAGGCGCGGAGACAGTAAGTTATTTTATACTTTTCTTTTAGCTCTTTTCTTACTCTAAATAAAAATGTTGAATTAAAAGAAAATATGTGGATATCATAAATTGACATTTTCCGAAGCAAGAAAGTCAATAACAATCCGTGGAGCTCACAGCCACCTTACTTTTCAGTGAAACATAGGCACAAGGGTTTAAATCAAAACTCGGTTACAGCTTTGATCCAATATACGTCCGACTGGCAGGCATTGGAACATGAACTGCTGTGGACCACTCATGGTAGCAACAGCACTATAATATGAAGCCAGATAATAGCAGGTCATGCATTGGTCCATCTCTAGTGGATCCTGTGTGCTAGAAACGATAGCAATATCTGGCCCAAGTTTCACAAAACATTCTCAAACCTAAGTTAAGAATTTACGCAAAATTGTTCGCCTTATTTTAACTAAAATAAAATATAGCCTTATAAAACTTTTGTTAAGAAACTATAAACTGTGCAAAGTTTTGTGTTTCTAGTTCAAAGATATTTCTCATAAACAGTGATTGAAAGGTGAGTCTGAGAATGCTTTGTGAAACCATGGTATGGTGTATAAAATGATATATATGTATATATATTACAGGCAGCTGTTCGGGGATGTAAATGGAAGAATAAACAGTTAAATGTAAAATGGTATTTAGGTATTACTAGGACTGTTAGTACTGATAGTGTTGGTATAGATTCAGATGATGAAGAGGTAAACTTGATATTTTACTAGTTTGGGGGTTGGGTGGTCGAATTGTCTGACACATGCACTTTAGATCATAAGGTCTGTTATTTAGCCAAGTGGTCTGATGGTAGATTGTGTTTGGCTGTGAAGAAATCGTGTTCGTATCAGAATACAAGGAGAAGAATGTCCGTGAGGTGATGGTTCTTGTCAACGCCAATTCTGCCTTGCTCTTAGTCGATTGATAAAGACAATTTTACATTACTCTTTTCTTCTATGGTCTCCTAAACTTAGCTATTTTCTCGAATTAGAGAACAATATTGTCATTTTGTAGCACATTTAGCTGTTCAGATATGAATTCAGCAACCCCGAAAGTTTACATCATCATATTACTAACATCGAAGTGTCCCGCCAAATTTAGCCGCTTGTTTGAATATAGCGGTCATATTGGAATACATTATGGATCGGAACATATTTATATGTTTTTATCTGAAGTAGGTAACACCCAATCTTACAAGCTTTCTCTCACTGCTAAAGACCCTGACACACCCAGCGTGCCATATTAACTGTGCCACATGTTAATCCTAAAATGACCTAGTTTGTGTTGAGAGGACACTAAACCACAGCTCACACTCTTTAAATTGACCACCAAAGAAATGTATCTACCTCTTCGATTTATCTGAATCTGTTTATTTTGTGTATTTTGTAGGCAATTCTAGCAGAAGAGTTTGATGAAGATAATTTGTTAGGGGCTGACGATGAGGAAGATGAGGATGAAGAAAGTCGATCATGGAGAAGATGAATTGTTTTAATTTAAAATATCACCATGTTGAACTTTTGTATGCAAAATAGGAGAACATGATCGAGACTCTCGCACCCCCCCCCCCCTCCAATATAATCACTGTCGTTGACAAACACTGTGTCTACATGATGCTTTTCTGTATTCAATCCTCTTGCCCTTTCTTCTTATCTCCCTGTTTTAGTGTAGATTTTATTCCTACCACATTTACAGAAAGTGTGACAATATATTACCCAGTTATAGTAGAAACTTTAGTTTCATTTCTTAATTTCATACAACCACTTTATTCTTCCCCTATTTGCAGACTATATATATATATATATTACCTTTTTTGTTGTTTCTCAATCTTCATTAGCCCAGTTGGTGCAGAAATGTCAGATGTTAAACCCCATTTCATTTCTGTTTCCCATCTTTATCAGCCTGATTTGTGCAGAAAAATAAGAGTTAAACCCTCATTTTATTTCATTTGTTGTTGGAATGTAGAAAACTAACTTTTTTTTTCCTATTTGCAATTTGTGTGATGATATTTAAATGTTATGTAGATATATTTTTGTTATGTATATAAATGAAAACTGTTTTTAGAGATGTTTGGTGTGAGATGTGCAAGGTGCCTATGTACAAAGTATTTTTAATTATTAATTATTAACAATAAAAAATGTTTTCTGTATTCAAAGAAACCTTATTTTTCTGAGTTGTTGAATTTTTTAAATTAAATTATTCATTGATGTTGCCATTCAGCAACACACAACATTTTGGTTTGTTTTGTCAGGACAAAAAAAAAAACATCTTGAGCGTATATTAAGATTTGTTAGTAAATATTTGCCTTGTTTTAAATTGTTAATGATAATTATTTTTGTTTATTTTACATTATAATGATTTAAATACTATGTAATTATATGTGTATTGAAAGATGTGGTTCTTGGGCTATATTTTCATTTGAATTATTAAAACAGTATTTTTTGGACAAAAAGATGAGAAATTAATCAATTTATAATTGCACTATTTGGGTTTGCTTCTCTGGTGATCCAAATGGAGCCATCTTGGCTCAGGGAGTAAGACGTTGGCGCGCTAACCTGGAGATCCCATGTTCGATCCTAGCGTTGGCCAAGAAAGTTCATCAGGATTTTCCGGCGTGGTTCAGCCTTGTCAGTGGGGTAGGACAGAGGGCCTGGCATATGTGTTCCGATGAGACAGAAAACTGAGGTCCCGTGTACACATTGACAGTTTGAATTCGATTTAACAGTAAACCGTAGCACCGATGTCTGGGTAAAATTTCCCTCTCACCAAACTGTATGCCTGTTTCTATTAGCCCTGTCGAAGCAGAACATTAATCCAATTATTTTCATTTCATTTCTAGTAATCCAAACAAAAAATAATCATCTGTATGTACCTGAGAACCATTGAATTTCGTATTATAAATCTTTTTAACAATTAATATTTGATTTTGTACATCATACTCAAATATGACATTCAGCAATATTTGATGCTCTTTGAAAAAAAAAGAAAAAGACAACAAAAAAGAATGATTCATAAAAATAAAGTAAGAGCACAAATTTAAAAAGATGAAAAAAGAACACAATTTTAAAAAAGAAAGATGTCAATCTAAAAATGCTTAAAATGTTGAATAAATTGTATAGAAAGAAAAGATATGGCAAAAAGCCATCAATATGATCCAGAAAGAAAACACTTATCATATTCTAATTTGGTGAAAAAAATCACCATTGTATGTGTGATGGAGGGTGGAGTGATGTATGATAGTTGGTAGAGTGATAGTGATGTATGATAGTTGGTAGAGTGAAAGTGATGCATGATGGTGGGTGGAGTGGTGTATGGTTGAGTGATGGAGGGTGGAGTGATGTATGATAGTTGGTAGAGTGATAGTAATGTATGATAGTTGGTAGAGTGAAAGTGATGCATGATGGTGGGTGGAGTGGTGTATGGTTGAGTGATGGAGGGTGGAGTGATGTATGATAGTTGGTAGAGTGATAGTGATGTATGATAGTTGGTAGAGTGAAAGTGATGCATGATAGTTGGTGGGTGGAGTGGTGTATATTTGGTTGAGTGATGGTGGGTGGAGTGATGTATGATAGTTGGTAGAGTGAAAGTGATGCATGATGGTGGGTAGAGTGGTGTATGATATTTGGTTGAGTGATGGTGGGTGGAGTGATGTATGATAGTTGGTAGAGTGATAGTGATGTAAGATAGTTAGTAGCGTGAAAATGATGCATGATAGTTGGTTAGTGGAGTGGTGTATGATAGTTGATAGAGTGATAGTGATTTATCATAGTTGGTGGGTAGAGTGATGCATGACAGTTGGTAGAGTGATAGTGATGCATGATACTGTTGCATAGTTTAAAAGGTCTGTCTAGATTAGATAACAGTGTTGGGTTTATAACTGTGTAGTTTCTGGAGCAGTATTGAGTAATGAATTAGTCTGTTAATTACTCAACACCTTTTGAGAAACTAACCCGTGTTAACCCCAACACTCATCATCTAATCTAGGCAGACCCTTTAAAAACTACACAACAGTAGAAACCCAATGGCAGGTAGTAGCAGGGTAATCAATGACAGGGTGAGGTAGTAGCAGGGTAATCAAGGACGGGGGGGGTAGTAGCAGGGTAATCAAGGACAGGAAGGGGTAGTAGTGGAGGGTAATCAATGACAGGGAGGGGTACTACCCGAGTAATCAATAACAGGGAGGTGCAGTAGCAGGGTAATCAATGACAGGAAGGGGTAGTAGCGGAGGGTAATCAATGACGGGGAGGGGTAGTAGCAGGGTAATCAATGACGGGGAGGGGTAGTAACAGGGTAATCAATGACGGGGATGGGAAGTAGCATGTAGTAGCAAGGTAATCAAACAATGACAGAGAGAGGTAGCAGCAGGGTAATCAATGATATTTGGTATTAACCAATATTGACTTTTAGATCACAGACCACACAAAAATTATGTTTAACAAATTTAATATTGTTCCAAAATATAGAATTGAAATAAGAATATAAAAATAACAAGATGTCAATATCAGCAACCAAAATTATACATAATAAGTTGAGCTTGGTAACCTTGGATACCTAAAAAAAAAAATTGACAAAAAATGACAATAATATAGAAAGTTTTACCACCACAGCAGCATTTTTTTTATCTAATTGTTTTAACTTTGTCTTACAGAATATAAAAATTACCAGGATAGTTCAACTGTTATATTCAGATTTATATATACTGTAGGTAAGTAATAAATCGTGGGTGAAGTCTCAAAAGGGTGTATCTCGGGAAATTAGTTAAATACACTTTTTTGCATTTTTAAACTTTCCCAATTAATATGCACATTTCTGTCTAAGCTGTGTATCTCTACGCCAATAAGAATTGTTCTGGGTATCATGTGTCCAAAAGTTGTATCTTGATTTGTGGAAATTATGAAATGCAAAAGGTTCTATTTCTTAATCTTTAGAAATTCTTAGATACACCCTTTTGACACTTCACCGAGGAAATGTGTACTGTCAAAATCACAGCAATGGTCCTTATCAGCACCATTGTGTCTCGATGGTGTCTTTAACCAAGGTAATGGAGGAGGTATGATTTCCTAAACCTTGTTCCAGACCAAAGACCTCAGCCTATCTTTACATAAGATTTCTTCCCTCAGTTTAGTTGGGGGGGGGGGGGTTCAGAATAAAAGACGACCTTGCTTTGATCCCCTGTCTGAGGGATACCACATTTGACCAGGAATTAATGCAAATAAAACTTTTTTTCATTATCAAAGCAGCAAAGAAAATGCTAAAAATTAACTTGAATACTGAAATAAATTGCAATTTATTGTGAGAGTTATATGTACCTTGTATGACTAGTAGTAGATAACCATTCCCCTATAACAGGTACTAGTAAACCACCTAGTAATATCTGTGTGGGATGATATATTAACAATGGTATAGATATAATAGATAAACTATCATCATTACCAAATATTATCTTTATTATAGGAATACCTGAAATATACCAACATAATTAGATGACATGGATTAAAAAAAGATAGGGGGTTTACCACCTGGGCCCTTATTCACGAAAACTTAAACTAAGTTACAATCGAAATTTTAAGAAATACTGCAACTTCATTGGATATATGCAAATTGATTTTACTGGTCAGCCAATCGAATTGCAGTATTTCTTAAAATTTCGATTGTATCTTAGTTTAAGTTTTCGTGAATAAGGGCCCAGGCCCCATAATACGCCTACCAGCAGAAAAGATGTCTATGCTAGCTCGAAGTCAACAAATCTTGCAGAAAGTCTGTTCTTTAAAAATTTTAAGAGTAAAAATGTTAATGGAAAGATCAGCATTCAAAAATTTTGAAGCTCGATATGATTTGGGCAGGGACATATAAAAAATCAGTCAAGAAATTGTGCACAGACAACAGACCTATAAATGGAGATGATGACAATATAATATATGTATGGGTCTACAAGAATGGAAGTGGTGATCTATAGATGATATACTGATAAACAAGAAACACACCACCCATAATTGATTGATAAATCTATTAATGGGCCTCTTTTGAATTTGACTGAATCCAACCTGGGAGATTGTTTCGATTCCCCCGCTTGTCGGTTTTCTCCGGGTCCTCCGGTTTCCTCCCACTGCTAAAGACCCCTACACGCAAGCGAATTGTTAAAATAAAATTAACGATATGTTAGTCCCAAAATGACCTGGTTTGTGTAGCGTGGACATTAAACCCCAATTCTCTCTCTCTGGCTGTCTACCATTTCTATTTGGGTTTTGTTTTTGCAATTAAATTTAAATAAACAATTTGAGTAAATTTTAGCATGGATTAACTCATGAAATATTACAGATTGTCTATAAAAAAAAGTACAATAATACTATGGACAAAGAACTAAGCATGACGTCATCGCTGCCATCTTGTAATTGGAAAATCATATAAATTATGGAAGTCTGTCAATCAATGTGCAATTATCAAAGAAAGAAGCGTACCAAGTCTCATGTCAATCATACTTGAGGAAGCCATAAGCTTTTTTTTTTTTTTCGAAGAGCTTCTCCCCCAAGAAGAACAACAAGATGGGTAGTGCTTCGGGTCCAAAAAGTGACTTTAATAAAAAAAATAAGGTTGAAATGTTACTGTACCTAATGTAAGTGATTTATGAGTACAACAGAACATCAGAGCTACTGTATCTTGTGGAGTAAAGTTTAAACATGGTCGAGTTGTTATATAAAATACCAACAATAACAGAAACACCTGGAGTATTATAACTGAAATATTGATATTAGAGTGACATTGATATTAGGACTAACTCATGAAAACCATTAATATTAGACTTACTCATTAAAACAATGAGTAATTAAAACAATTGACATTAGACATACTCATTAAAACAATTGATATTAGACTTACTCATTAAAACCATTGATATTAGACTTACTCATTAAAACAATTGATATTAAACTTACTCATTAAAACCATTGATATGAGACTAAAATTATCCACATGTAGATTTTGATGAGAAAAGGTATCACAGAATGTTGTATATATAATCAACAGCAGAATGGCACTGAAACATATTAACCAATAAAATATTATATCATAAATAAATATATGAGTATTGTAAACACCCACGTTTTCCTCTGGGCTGCCCCCTCCCCCCGCCTCCCATCCCTCTCTGAACTTGGGGTATGTGTGTTATTTAGGGGAATAAACATTTAAAACTTTTTTCATCATTTATAATGCAAAACAAGATTGATGTCCGATTTGAAACACGGCATGCGGTAATATCAATTGCAACATGGACGGGAAATCTCCTTTTGTTCTTCTCATTGACTAAGCAGATTGTTTTCCCTCTAGTAGATTGGGGAGTTGGATGGCTGAATGGTTAGCGTGTGTGCGCTGTATCATAAGGCCTGTCATTGAGTCAACTGTCGTGGTTTCGAATCCCCAGTTGTATGTGACAAGGAGTAGGGTCGCCTGTCCAGCCTCGTGGGTTTTCTCCGGGTCCTCCGGTTTCCTCCCACTGCTAAAGACCTCTACGCGCAAGCGAATTATAGAAATAAAATTTAAAAAAAACATATGTTAGTCCCGAAATGACCTAGTTTGTGTCGAGTGGACGTTAAACCCCATTTCTCTCTCTCTCTCTCTAGTAGATTGGGTGGAGCTTAACCGTGCAATAACTAGACATGTTCAATGTTATTGCACTCTTTTGCTGGTTTACACTAGTTTTAGTAGAAATCATTAGAGAAGTGGGGTGGGTTTTCTGTGCAATAACAACAAGCATGTTGAGCAGGTGTCAATTTTACAAGTCATTTTATAGCACGCTTCATTCGTTAACAGGTTAACCTGTTAACTCATGAAAGTCGTGCTATAAATATAACTTATACAAGGGTGTTTATGACAATTGGATAAACAGAGCTATAGTAAATAAAAGTGGGTTGGGTTGTATGGACACTGAATCTTATTCCTCATAAATAATAAATAAAATGCTTCACTTGATCCCCAAATTAGCAAATGGGCACACCCAAATCTTCAGGATAATCCTCATTCAGGTAAGGGAAAACTTTGTCAGCAAAAAGTACTATTTTAAAATTATATTTGCACTTAAACACACACAAATATTTTGAATTGTAATATTTATTATGAAATTAACTTTACAAAAAACAAAGAGAGAGATGGGGTTTATCGTCCACTCGACACAAACTAGGTCATTTTGGGACTAACATATGGTTGAACTTTATTTCAATAATTTGTTTGTGCATAAGGGGCTTTACCTGAGGGAGGAAACCGGAGAAAACGCACTTGACTCAATGTCATGACATTTTGATCTAACGCGTATGTGTTAAACCCTTCGGCCAACCAACCCCCCGTCAAAGAGAAAGATGAATAAGATATAGATACCTTCCTATATCACTCAATGGTATATGTTGTCGTTCTAACCATATTTTATAATTCCTCCGTACAGTCTGACCTAGTATTAACGGTAAAACTACCGTACACATCAGTTGTATTAATATCTTACTGGCTGGTACATGAGCTGTAGATCCTACCTATATAATGTATCACATAGAAAACATAGATTTAAAGAGAGAAATGGGGTTAACATCTACTTGACACAGATTAGGTCATTTTGGAACTAACATATGGTTCCATTTTATTTCAATAATTCACTTGTACATAGGGGTCTTTAGCATTGGGAGGACCTGGAGAAAACCCACGAGGTTGGACAGTCGACCCTACTCCTTGTCACATACAAGTGGGGAATTAAAACCAGGCCACTTGACCTTATGATCTATAAAGCATGCGTTAAACCATCCAGTCACCCAACCCTCAGTAGATTCAAAGAAGATGTATATAACTGGATTATTCATTAAAGATGCATTATGTAAGAGATAAATCTGTGTATTGCAGGTCTCTTTTTGGCTTAAAATGTTATAATAACTATTATTTAGACAAGCCTATAATCAACTCTATAGACCATCGGATGGCAGAGATATTGAAACGTTTAACTTTGAGGTGTCCAATAACTATTATGTGATAGATTCTTAAAGATACATTATGTAAGAGCTAAATCCGCCTATTGTAGGTCTTTTTCTGGCTTCAAATGTTATATAAGTTATTGTTGAGGCGTTTATTCACATAACAAGCCATAGGATGGCAGAGATATTCAATGGATTAGAACCTTAGCATTATCTCATAATTTAACTATAAAATGGATAATCAAGAGATTGGTTAATTATCGGAGCAGTGGTACATGACAATCTTGTCAAAACTTAGTAATTTGGCTGTATTATCTATTTTTGAACTATTATAGCAAAAACAGTCAGCTCTTTTTATTTTGAGTGACATCTGTATCACTACAGGCCCGGTCAGGACTGTACAGCATAGTGGATGCTTACAGCAAGCCCCCGGATTCATTCACTTTATCTCATATTTACATTTGTTGTGTGTGATGTTTGTATATTTTGTCTTGTCCAAGATTTGTCATGTGTAATTGTTTGTGTGTGGTGCAGTCCCCCTGCACTTATTACTAATAATGCACTTTTAAGTTAAATTAATTTAGAAAAACAGATTGATTTGTTGTTTTCTTCAAAAGTCGTATTTTCAGCCTGGGAAATGTAGCCTATATTTCCGAACATGCCGATGTACAATGCCCAGAAATGGTCTAAGACAGCATTTTGAGGCATCCTAATTTTAAAAAATCTTCCGGGGAAGGCACCAAGACCCCCGCTAAATGCGCGCCTGTAGCGCACGTGGTGTATGCCTTCGCCTGCCGTACTCTGTCAGCGTCTCCCAAAACTTTGAGTCCTATTTTCAGGCTGAGGATATTTCCCGTTGGTTCAAAAATGCCCGGTCTTTGATGTAACCCAGATCTGAGAATGATCTCTTCACGACCTCAGCAGCTTATGCTCAGAGCTGGCCACTTGAGAAATTATTCATCACATTTTCATCCGTGACCGGCAATTTAGTAGCCTACCTATATCCCTATATTGCGAGGATTATAATATGTTGGTATTTGATGACGGCCTGTCGGCTGAAATTATTCATTATGATGAAATAAAGAATATTCCTCATCCCCTATTTGTGTAGTTATTGATTATTCTCGCTCAAAAACGACAATTTATTCTCGGTAGGCCCTACGTTCATCTCTGCAGAATGCTCAGAAATGGTCTCAGATAGCGTCTTCAGGCATCCTGCTTTCAAAATTTTCAGTGGGGGGGGGGGGCCCAGACCCCCCGCAGAACGGTTTGCGCCTGCGGTGCGATCCGTATGGCGGGCTCCGTCTGCCACCTCTGTCCCCCCTAAAATTTAATAAGATCTGCGGCCATGGTTTTCTTGTTACATAAGTAACTGTGATACTAACCATCTTGCATTCCTTTCTGAGGTGTGTGTGTGTGGGGGGGGGCAATCATGAGGTCTCTCACTGAGTCAACTGGTTTTGAGTCTACTGGCGTGGTTTTGATCCCAAGCTTGTACATGACAAGAAGTAGGGTCTTCTGCCCGTTCTACCCCACCCCACCCCAAACAAATACCCCAATAACAATACTTACCATTTCTAAGACTAATGCTGGTGTGACGAATATACCCTGAAAATAACAATTTTACTATTCAAACATAGATGGGGTTCGTCAAGCAAAATATGACCAAATTATCAATGTGGCCATATAAGAATTGTTTGAGCTGATATATTTGCAAAATTTCAAACAAGTTTGCTATCATTTTATAATTCAAAAAATCAAATGTTTGAGTATGAATGCAAAATTGTTTTATTTCACGGTTTCATTGTATTCTTATTTGCTAAAAGATTCTTGATGATTTGGCAATGCAAATTAATTTACAAAGTAGAAAGAAATTTTTCTTAAAGTTGAAATTCACTCCATTAGGCCATACAAAAAACTTATTCTGGGTTTTAGAAAATCTGAAGCATGTGGGGGGTGGGGGGGAGGTATTTTTTTGTTTTTATTTTGTCAGAGGATCACTACTGGGCTAAATGCCCTCTAATAAACATCCTGTTTCAAGGCACTACATGTTTCTACCATGTTTTTAAAGGAATGTATGATTATCCGGTATCATTATTGGTTGTCAGCAGTAACATTTATCACGTTTGTGTACTGGATAAATGAGCCTATGTCATATTTCTGGATTCATTCAATTGTTTTTTTTAGAGTTAGAGCTACTTCCTGTAACAGGGTAAAATATTTACATGGTGTAATTAATGAGATTGTTTGGGGGTTTTTTTTTCTTAAATAAAAACAGGTCATGCGGCCATCTATAAATGATGTGGGATTATCTGAGAACCAATTATTTTTTGTACATACCAGAACACTAGGGTTAGGGTTAGAGAGTTACATACCAGAAAACTTCCAAATGCTGAATTGAATATAGAAGCTGCCTGAAACAAAATTTAATTAGATCTGAAAACCAATTATTATCTGATAAATTTTCAATAGGGTATATACATATCACTATGGTTATATATAATTGAAGGGGAGCCACGGTGGCTCAGTGGGTACAACATCGGCTCACTAACCTGGAGGTCCTGTGTTCAGCAGGATTTTTCGGCGTGGTTCCCCCCTTTGTCAGTGGTGTAAGATGGACGACCTGGCAAGGGACAACTTATAGTCGTTCAGATGGGAAGCAAAAACCAAGGTCCTATGCACACATTGGCGTGCACGTTAAAGAACACCTGACAAATGAGAGTAGACCATAGCGCTGCTGTCCTGGCAAAATTTCCCACATAGCACACTACATGGCATATGCCTATCTTCATTAGACCAATCGGAGTAGGACGCAAAACCCTATTTCATTTCATTTATGTCACTGAAATAACTAGTTTCATAAAGACAAAAATTCAACAATAAGTTTTAAAGTAAATGGGAAAAGAAACCAGACTGTTTAGTTTTATGTTTGACTTAGCACTGGGCCTTCATGTCTGTTCAGATTTTTTACACCGTGTTGTCTCATAAGATATGCAGGCTTTGCATTAAGAATGCAAAAGATACTCAAACCAATAAGGTTTCTTTTGGTATAAATAATATTATTGCATAACTGCCTGATTCACAAATGATGCATACAAACAATATTAAACTAACCTCATTACCGCCTATAGCTCGTGTTAATATAACAGCTGACGACACAGGCGGTGGCATACAACTTAAAATCGTCAACCTACAATAGAAACCAAATGGGGTTTAACGTCCTACTTTTCTGCACCAACTGGGCTAATGAAGACAGGTATACGCCATACAGTGTGCTATGAGGGAAATTTTGTCCAGCCTATTCTTATTTTGATGTTTAACATCCCAACAATGGTATACAATAGACTGGGATTTTTGTGGTATCTGAAGAACTAGACACTTTTCCAGTACAGGTAGTAAAATAAAATACAGACAACTTGACAAGAATTGAAATTTTTTTATCGACTCTAGTAAAACAGATTGACTCCAGTCCACCTGTAATATACCAAACATAGACTATATATAGGGTACAGCGGCCTCGTCAGATCCTCAACTAAGCCTGAAAAGTTTGAATTTGAACGAAACAAGTAGCTTACTGAGTGGAATCATCTCGTAAGGCTGTTTGCCACTCAATAGGTTTATAATTTCTGAAAAATTTTAGGATAAAAAAATTTGATCATAATCAAGCCTGGACATAAGGCACAAATTATTACACAACTTATACATACATACAAGCCTGGACATAGACATTGTCAGACATACATTATCACACAACATTTTATATAATATATAGACCTACATTGTGTAATAATTTGTGTCCAACAATGTCTGTGACAGTTGCCTTATGTCCTGGGCCCTGTTTCTCGAAATCTTAACTAAAGATAAAATCCAAATTTTAGTAGATACTAATATCAACCTAATATTATCCAATCAAATTACTAAAATTTGGATTTTATCTTAGTTAAAATTTCGTGAAACAGGCCCCCAGGCTTGATCATAATAGAAACTTACCCGTCCAGTAATAATTTTTCAAAAGGAACGACAATATCCAGAAACATGATGAGTAGTTTGATGAGAAGAGGAAATAAACAGTATGTAAAACTCTGGACGAAAAGATGCAGTTTAACTTGATATATAGCTTTAGCTAATTCCTAAAAAAGTAAAAACAAAATTATCAAACTGATTCCCTATAACAGGAGGGTGGGTGAGGGTAGCAAAATAGTTTAACATGTGCGCATTAGATCACAAAGTTGTTTTTTTTAGTCAAGTGCAAGGTTTTGATTCCCCAACTGTATGTGACAAGGAGTAGTGTGTTTTTGATTATGTTCCAATTACTAAATGCCATTCAAAGAATAGACAAGGAGTAGGGTTGCCTTCCAACCTTATGGGTCTTTTCCGGGTCTTCCGGTATGCTCCTACAGCTAAAGACCCCTATGCGCAAGCGAATTATTGAAATAAAATTGAACCATATGTTAGTCCCAAAATGTTAGTCTCTCTCAAGCTATATATAATGTTTCAATACTTTATTTAACCACTCCATAATAAATAAATGCTTCATAAATTCTCCACTCAAAGTTGGAAGACCACTAAAGATTAAGATTCATGCATTTTCACTAATTTGTAATAGTTCTTATTCAAATTGCAATAACTGTAATAGTTCACAGACAAATGCAATCAAAATTTCATCATCTAGGAGTTATATCCCCCATTACGTGTCTTTTTTGTCGTGAACCGGTTACATATTATTATAATGCCAGCAAATTGGAAATTTTCAAAACTTGGTCAATCTATAGGAGTTATCCCCACAGAGTGAAAAAGAGATGAGGAGAGGGAGAGAAATTAGGTTTGGCGTCCACTCGAAATAACCTAGGTCTTTTTGAGACTAACATTTATTTCAATAATTCACTTGCGCATTGGGATCTTTAGCAGTACGAGGACCAGAAGAAAACACGTATGGTTGGACAGGTGACCTTACTCCTTATCACATACAAAATGGAAATTAAAACCACTCCACTTGAAAGACCTTATTATCTAAAGTGCATACTATATTAAGCCATTTGACCACCCCAGCCCCTGTCTTGTGAACGAGATACAAAAGGGAGATCATATGACAGAAAGTTTTAAAACTTGGTTTGATTTGTTGACTATGTTATTATTAAATTTAGCATGGACAACTATCTCTTTGTTGTATATTAAAGCGATAATTTCATATTTTCTAAGAAAGTCAAAACATAATTATTTCTATGTCTTTTGCTCAATAGTTTGTCAACTCACTATTATACGATTCTAACTCTTAAAAATCCTTTGACCCCGGAAATAATTACACAAGTACCTCCCTTGTTTTTCTATTTCGCCCATAGAATAGCTATCTTCAAACGTTTGAATTTAAAGTTGAAAATGATATTTTTGCCAATTTCTCAACTGGTAATAGTGAATTATAGGATTAATAGGATTATTCTTTAACAAGGTAGGACTATTTTTAGATAACCATCTATTTTAAGGCTTTATTTTAATAAATTTTAAAAATATAACTTAAAAATATGAAATTGCAACTTTAATGTTTTCATTATTCCATATATATCTTCACTGTTCTATGATGGTAAGTAATGTGTCATGTGTACCTCTGTTTTCAAGGAAATTCCACTGTTAAAGAATATGATGGAGACAGCCAGGTATTTGACTGTTATTTCTGGATACAATATTCCTTAAAATACAAAAAAACGAATGCACATTAGTCTTGCAACAGAGTTTAGTACATGCCTAAAAACTACTATGCAATCAGATCAATTATTGGAAGATTTGATTATTTTCCATACCCCCTTTGGAACCCACACCAGGTTCAATTTTAGCTAATAAAATGACAGCAACAATTCCAATTAAAAACCAGTTCTTTATAAGTATTGCAAGAAAAGACATTTTTTGATTCATTTCTTATGAAGCAAGCGATGTTCAAGATAACATATTGTTGCATTCGTGAATTGGTATTGCATTTGTAGCCTGCGTGTTTGTGCTAAATAAAAGACTTGATGTTCGGAAATTTAAGTTACGGGGGATAACTCCTAAATGATATTAGTTGAGTATTAAATGTGCGATATTTGTAATTGATATGGATATATTTAGATGTATTTTATGATATCTGTTTGAAAACTAGTTTTGAAATTAATTTATATTTACAGGCTACCATAGTTTTGAAATTTATCATGCTACGGGCATTTTTCATACAACTAAAATTTGGGTTTGAATATTTAAAAGCTAATGTTATTCTATTTTCTTTTACTAAATCTAACTTTATTGTTTATTTTGAGAAGAGTAGCAGATGCTGAAAAAAGTTGTATTTGATGTTTTGTGCAGTAAATCTATCAGTTGATTAGAAAGTAGAATTTTTACTGTCTCATCAAATTCCCCTTGGTCTTACGGTGAATCGAACTGGTTTGTAATGCTATGGACTTCCAACACTAGCGGGAAAAACATCTGAATCTTTCACTCTCAGTTTTTGTTTACACAACAAGAATGGCGGCTGAATCAAAAACAAGATTTGACAAGCAGAGCACGATATCATTCACTCTACCTATATCTTGTCAGATATGTCTGGGAAAGGTAATTTTGAACTTTTAAACTTTAAAATCTGTCTAATACACGAATTGTTGGAGCAGTGCATAAATAAAAGGTGCATAAATAAAAGGTTTATTGGAGTTCAGGAAATAAGCTATTGAATGATAGGATGAAGGGATATTTTAATACACCGTGGCTATATATACTTACGATGAGGCGTAAGGATTATTGATGGACTATTCTTACATCATGTTGAAAGTTCCTGCCGCGCTTGCAAGTTACACAATGTTGGACTTGTATTATTTTGCAGTTTGCAAGAGGGGATGTTGTAAGAATAGACAATAATGCTTTTTTTTACAATGTTTTACGAAGTAGTCTAGGCTCTAAATTATTGTCGATTTTTACAAGTTTTTTTATTAACTTTATTTAGTTGTACGCCCCTTATTCTTTGATAAGGTCCATTTTACTCTAATAATTTAAAAGGATTTATTTTTTTCCGAAAGAAAAATACTTTTATCTTCTGGAGCTTCTCGCTGTGTGCTTCTCTTATTTAGGGTATATGTGAGCTTTCCTTAAAATATAGAGTAATAATTTAAGATATTAAAACTGAATTTCAATTAGGCCTATATATATTACAATTAAGGCACCGAGATGACCCCTTCTGATGTCAGGCTAAGCATGGAAGTTGGACAATGTAGTGGTTGTAAAAATAGCCTGTCATAAAGATAAAGTATTGCCTAATTCTTACGACATCCCCTCTCGCAAACTGCAAAATAGTACAAGTCCAAAATTTTGTAACTTGTGTATGTGCTACCGGAACTTCCACCATGTCGTAAGAATAGTACATCAATAATTCTTACGCCTCGCCGTAAGAATAGCCACGGCATATTTAGTAATTAGTCAATTACCAACAATGGCAACATATATAAATTTATCCTTTACTGATATTATAACACAATAAATGCTTAAAGAGGACATAGCTCTAATTTGATATACAATACACCCTTTAAAACTTAAAGATTCAGAAAAACCTTCATTTCCATCTAAAATGTGTTTTGTATTTATTTTCAGGTAAAACAGCCAGTTCTATGTCCAAATAATCATGTATTTTGTTCATGCTGTATGGAAGTTTGGCTACAGAGAAATCAACAGTGTCCAGCTTGTAGAGTTGATATAAATCCAGGCAATCCTATTCAACAAATCAGAGGTACATGTAGGCCAGGTGCAATGAAGAAGAATATAGTTCTAATTGGCTAAATGACCAGCTATCCCTTTTTATCAGTAACTAAATATAGTTGGGTTTTTTTGGTATTGAACTCTTAGACTAATGACTTTGCCTTCTCCATTTTTATCTGTTTCAAGAACAATGTAGTTATTTACATGTTAATCCCCAAAAAGTCAGAAATAAAGTTGAATTAAGTGTTTAAGACTATATTATAGGCCTAGTATCCTTAAAAATTGTTCAAATCGATAAGTTCTTATTTATCACCTCTATTGTTGATGGTGTGTTCTATGTATTTAATAACAAATATTTTATATCATGATTAAAGAATATAGCTTGTAATTCTCAGGACGGAGTTCTGAATAATAGCTTGTTAAGGGCAATTTGAACTGGATTAGAACTGACACTACTTTAATAATATAGTATAACGCAAGAAATTAGTTTGGCAAAGATGTCAAACACAACCTAATCCCAGTAACATAGAAATTTAAGATTTTGTGGGATTGGAATTTGGTGGTGAGGAATTATATGTATTGTTTTGTTTAGTATACCATAAACTTATGTTGGTTGTCATGGTGATGATATTATTTGTGTAATTACAGGTGGATTAAATCATACAGAAGACAGTAACGAGAGATTGAGTAATCCACAAATGAGACGAGCAAGATTTGAAATTTTATACAAAGAATATGAAGTAATTACATTTATTTATTTCTGATTTCTGTTACTTTACGACGTTATTCTCCATCTTATTTATCAGATAAAAGTGGGGCTTTCTCAAATACAGCAGGTATAGAAAATGAAACGAAGTAAGTTCGATCTGTAATAAATGATAAAATTGAAAGATAAAGAAAGAGAGAGAAATGGGTTTTAACCTCAACACAACATAAACTAGGTGATTTCGAGACTAAGATATGGTTCAATTTTATTCCAATAATTCGCTTGCACGTATGGGTCTTTAGCAGGGGGAGGAAACTGGAGAAAACCCATGATTGAGGTTTTACAGGCAACCCTATTCCTTGTCACGTATAAGCTGGGAATCAAAACCATGCCATATGACTCAATGACAGACATTATGTTCTAAAGCACACTTATTAGACCAATCGGCTCCCAATTCTCTTGAATTTAGCACTGTAATCCAGGTATCATTTAATCTTGAGTATTTAGCACTAATTTCTTTCACATTCATTCAATATCAAATCCTTATTTAAAAAATCATTTAAAATCACCAAAAATCATCTAATTTGCACTTGCGTCCAGTTTAAAGCTGACTATTCAATTTTAATAATAAATGTCAAATTTACGACTGTTTAATTTATCTATAACTGTTAGAAAATAAACAACCCATTTGATTATTGGTGTATAATGATTAATTTCTAAACAGTGATCAGGAAATTAAATACTTGGAAATTGGACACTCAAAGACCGACATATGCCATTGCTTCAGGTACATACTGTACCTATACTATATATAGATTAAGTTTTAAATTTTGATACCCCAACTGCCAGCTCGTCAAATCCTCCATATGAATCCAGCTTTGACGAGATCAGAGCCTTGGTGGCAATGCGTATCAGAAAGCCCACACATGCCATCTCACCTATGGTCTCTCAGGGGATACCGTTCAGTACATGTACCCAGGAACTATGCCTCTCGTTGGAGCCTATTTGGTCAAGAATACTACCTTGGATGGAACCTATATGGTCATTAATACTACCTTGGACACTATTACTCCTCATACACTATTGCTCCTTCAACTAAGGTAATGGAAGCAATTAGGTCTCTTAATTGCTTATCCATCTCCAACCTATGCGAAACAAACCTTTTATCTGGCTCGTCTCGCTAGTTTTCCAGGAAACACTTGTCTGCGATATCACTCTACTGTAGGTGGAAGCAAACGTTCAGCCGAACACATACAAATTTTGATAATCTGTATGAGAGAGCAATTACTGTAAAATATGGGAAATCGATATATAAATACACTGTACAGTTTTTTATCAAATAAATATGGGAAATCGATATATAAATACACTGTACAGTTTTTTATCAAATAAATTTTCAATTTTCAGGATGAGTTTGAGAAAATGGCAGCAGACATCCACATGCTGCAAACAGAAAATAATGTATTAAAATCACAGCTGAAAAAAGAGGGTGTGAGGTTGGTGGATAATGGTGGAGATTTTACACATCCCAACAATGTTGATGCTAATCAGATGCTGGTTCTAACGCGAAAATTACAAGATGCCCACAAACAATATGAGAAAATTAAACAAGAATTTAACAAGTATAAACAGGTAATATTATACATAGTGGGGAGGTTGGGTGGTCAAATTTTAAACATGTGCATGTGAGATCATAAGGTCTGTCATTGAGTCACGTGGTGTGGTTTCTATTCCCCGCTTGCATGTGACAAAGAGTAGGGTCATCTGTCCAACCTCATGGGTTTCCTCTGGTTCCACCGGTTTCCATCCACTGCTAAAGACCCTTATGCCAAGTGGATTATCTAAATAAAATTGAGTGTTGAGTGGACTTTAAACTCTCTCTCTCTCTCTCTCTCTCTCCTTATACATTGTGTTGGGGGTGGAAGCAAACATAAAATACACCTATTTAAGAAGAAGGAATGGCCTAGTGGTCTAGAGCTCTAACTGGCCAATCACCCGTAGTTTCCAATCGTAGTTCGATCCCTGGTGTGAGCTTGTGTGGTGCAATCTCAACCTTGTTGGGTACTCCAGTTTCCTCCCACAGGAGAGACCCCTGTAAATGTTCTGAATTACTAAAATAAAGGTTTGTTGGTGATATCTCTCATAATTAACAATATGCATTGTGATCAGTATGTGTGTGTTGTGCATGTGGCATTGCATCCTTTCTCTCTACACTCTTCTAAGGTATCTGGTATATAAATCTAACTTCAAATATTTTTAATAGTAGAATTTTGCTTTCTTCATCCATTTCCATATGGAACTTACTTTATATCAGCTATGGTTTGATTGATCTTTTTTTTTTCTTTGTTTCATTTCAGCTAAAGAAATAAAATGAAATGAAGTGGGGTTTAACATGCTACTGTTCTGCACTGACTGGGAAAATGGGGTTTAACATCCTACTGTTTTGCACCAAGCATACACCGTACAGTGTGCTATGAGGGAAATTTCGCCTAGACAGCGGCGCTACAGCCAACTTTTATAAAGAATTCCATCTGTCAAGAGTTCTTTTACGTGCATGCCATTGTGTACACGGGACCTTAGTTTTTTGTACTATCCGAATGACTATACACTGTCCCTTGCCAGGCCCTCTGCCCTTCAGCTCTAACAAGAGGTAACCACGCCACTCAGCTAAAGAGGTTTTCAACAACCAAGCTGTTTATCATTAGTATAAATCTCTTATTTGGTGTTGTATCTCTTATTTATTTTCAGGAAAATAATAAATTGAAAGATGAAAATGTGAATGTGAATAGAGAAAATGAAAGATTGAGGGTTGAAATAGCTAACAGATCTCCTCATAGGTAAACAAAACTTTTGTCACGTTAGTAGTGTTAAATGGGAAAAAGAGGAACATGTAGATCAATAATTCACAGTTTGCTTCATTATGTTGATTCCAGTCTCTTAAGATGCATTATGTAAAATTTAGATAAAGAGCCAACCTTTCTTGCTATAATAGTTAATAAATGGATAATGAAAAATGAATATTGAAATACTGAGCCAAGTTATAACTGTTTGAAGATATTGCGTAGATGGTTCATTATCATAGCAACGGTACTTGACAACCGAAACCAAGACTTATCTCGCGGATATTTAAATCCATTTAAATCTCAGCCATCCGATGGTCTGTAGAGTTGATTATGGGCTTGTCATGTGAATTAGTGTTTAATTAATAGTTTAAATAAGATTTGAAGCCAGAAAAAAGGCAATAGGAAGATTAGCTTTGACAAAATGCATCTTCAATCTTATTGTATTTTGCAGATATGGTCGATACACCGTAGCTACTTTAGAATCAAAAGTAGAAGCTTATGAAAAGGAAATCAAACAGTTAAATAAAGCGTTGGAACGAAGCGACAAATATATCGAAGATCTAGAGAAGGAGTTAGAATCATATGGACATCAGAAAAACAGCGAAAAACCTAAAGCTGTCAAAGACTATAGTGATTTTAATGGATCAATTTCTGATACAAAATCGGATGTGGAAGCCTCAAAAAGACGATTATTTTCAGATAAAGATGGCTTCAGTCAGAAGAGTGATTTTGATAAAACGGACCCAGTTCAGTTTGCGTTAGATTTGTATAAAAGTAGCACCAAGAGCATTAATCAGGAAAATAATGCGGTTAGTTCGACCAAAACTCTTCAAGACAAGGAATTGGTCATTCGGCCTGAATCTCCAGGACAGAAACTGTGGAAATCAAGTCTAGTCATAAATTCACCCCAGAAAGATAGAACCCCTAAGAAGGTCCAGTTTGACCTCTATTCCCAATCGGGCAACAACGATTCTTCAACTTCTTCTTTTGACCTTGAGAAACCTAGTCCCCTATCCCTAACACCCTCTACCTCCATGGGCAAATTATCTCTTTCAGACAATAATCCCTCATCAGCTAAAAAATATTTAAACTTTGATGAGAACTATTCCAAATCAAAGCCAAAGATATCTGAAATGACAAACGGTTACGTTTCAAGATCTAGTTTGTCCCAGAAAGCGATTTTGTCAGACAGTGATTTAGGCTTGGACGATACTGGAGCTATAAAAACAGAACTTGATGAACTGAACATTTCATTGACACCAGAGCTGTCTGATTGTATGAAATTATTGAACAGAGCCGAAAAGAACGTCCATGTCAGTAAGGCTAGCGGAAGCAGGATGGCCAAAAATGAAGTTCAAGTTGCAGGTACAAATCATTTTGTGTATCCTCGTGATGAAGGCATGTCAAGTTCCCATGGGAACAATTATCCTTTTGACTCTAATCTTCCTCATACCAGCACTCTTGCCACTGTTTCTCATAGTGCAAACACTTGCATGACGAATCATGATTTTCATACACCAGAATCTGATTTAGGAATTACGCAAACAGCCCCTTCATCAAGAAACTCGGTGCAATCACATCAGGTCTACCAAAGACCTGGATCGTCTTTAGGTATTACACAAACTGTACCCTCTTCTCGAGGCTTCGGGCAATCAAACCATGTCTTTGAAAGACCTGGATCGGCATTAGGGACTGTACAGTCAGTCCCCACATACCCGAAGCTTGGTGTTAGGGAGCATGAGCAAGTCCCATCACTTTCTTCCAAGATTCCCACAAGTCATCATCAATCATCTAACAATTCTTGTAATTCAAATGTTGGTGAAGCCTACCATTTAAATCATAATATTTCCACCATAGGTTTAACTGATATGGTAAAGAGAGGGCAAAATATATTGAAAACATTAGATTACCAACCAAATTCTCCATCTTCCAAAGCATCCCTCATTCCATCCAATTCTAGTCATTTCAGCTCTTTATATACATCAACATCGGCCAGTTCTAAACCTCATCTAAGTACAGACTCCAGATTAAGGACTAGTCAATCTCAGACCATCCATTCCGCAAACACCCAATTTTCTAACAGCATTTATAGTCAGTCTAAGCCCATCCATTCTGCAAACACCCAATTTTCTAACGGAATCTATAGTCAGTCTCAGTCCAGCCATTCCACTAATAACCAATTTTCTAACAATATCTATAGTCAACCTGTTCCTCAGTACAACGTTCATTCGAAACCAATGATAAATCCAAATAACCTACCCAATTTTGACATACCTCAGTCCCTAATCATTCCTTCACCTAATCTAAGCGCAGAGTTCCCTTCAGTTAAACCTACTAAAAGTAATAGTAGCATGTTGTTTTCTTCTAATAGTGTTAAAGTTCCAGCACTCTCTAATTCATCTCATTTTTTATCATTGACAGGTACCACAAGCTCTGCTCCCATCATGCCTAAAAGCTTCTTCTCAGAAAATAACGGCAGTTCCTTCAATCACCACCAGCAGCAAAACTTTCAAACCTTCACCTCCTTAGAAAACTGTCCAGCTTCACAAAGTCATTATCCTCCTTTAATACATACTTCCACATCTGCTCACCCTTCAACTTCTGCTGCAGTGAACAGGGGAGGTAACTCATCTCCTATAGGATTGAGTTTTTCAGGAACCGGTAATAGCGATTCGTTTAGATTGGAAGCACCGGCTAGTAACTATAGTTACGTTTCCAATGATCTTTCCTCCAGAGCTTCAGATTCATTTTTAACGGAACCCAAGAAACGTTTGTTTGAGACAGACGATGAATTTGATCTGACCATGAGTCCCATCAAAACCACTCGTCATTACTAATCGTCAGTTTATCACCATTAATAACAAAATTATTATCTGGGGCTTAATTCACAAAATCTGAAAACTAAAATATTTTAAGGATGCAGTCATTTCATTGGTTGAGAGTTAAAATCCAGTTAAAATTTTGCTCTTGGCCATTGAAAGGGGAGAGCGAGATGGGATTTAAGGTTCACTCAGCACAAACTAGGCCATTTTGGGACTAACATGTTGGAGGAAACCGGAGGACCAGGAGAAAACCCACGAGGCTGAACAGACCCCCCCCCCCCCTAGGCAGTGAAAGGACTGAATTCTTAAAATAAAGTACAGTATTTGTGAATACCCTGATCTTAATTTTGTACCCGTATTAATACTCTGTCAACGCAAGAATAATTTTATAAATGTATATAAATTCCTCTATTTATTTAGTTCTTATTGATTGCATATGATATTTTAGGGCATTCTAATACGATGGTATACATCAATTATCAACCAAATTTTATTTGGACTCTCTGGCCTGCCGCCATGGCCTCACTAACAGCTCAGTGCAGAGACAGTGTAGCAGGCATGTCGAAAGGGGCCACTCACAGTTCAATGCGAACGCTACGTGGTAGGGCAACATGGTAGGACGTGTCTATGTTTAGTCACCAATCTCGAAAATTTAGTCAAGATAGCCAAACAAATTAATCATATTGGTGTAGAATTGTTGTAAAGATGATTATATACACCCACTTTAAGTACATATAATTTTGCTTGGTCTTTAATTTTCATTTCACTGCATGTCAAATTAATCTTGATATTGAAGGTATCTTTCTTAGCATTTTAAATAAATTTTTATATTGAAAATATTTTTATCATTTTCATTAATTTTTATATCTCTGCATATCAAATTAATCCTCATATTGTAATATAATGTTTTTATCTATTTAAATATGTGTTCTTATCTATTTAAATAAATGTTCTTATCTTTTTAATAAATTGTCTCGTCGTGGTGTGGTGAATTTATTTCACAAAATGATTCAAACGATGGACCCCGATATGCAGTGAGCTGTTAGATACTGAACTGCCGAGCGTCATCCCCAAAGTAACGGGTATTGGAGGCCTTAATAATGCGCCTAAGTTGAGAAATGATGGTCGTGTTTTCCAGCTCGGTGATGTGGAATGTCGCAAAATTTACTGCCATCCAACTAATACTGAAAAATGTTGTAATGCTATTGGGGTGGGGCCTGTAGCGACTTCTAGAAGGTCCATGGTGCCAAAGTATTTGCATACCATTGGTTTTTACATGGTCTGAAATGGAAGATTGGCAAAAATCCGTAAGCTGCACGTTGACATACATTCCTCGACAAGCTTGCCATAGATAGCAGTACCATTCGATAAATTAGTGCATACAAAGAAAAGTCTTTTAGGAAAGTATTAGAAATGGCAACGATCAAAGCAGGATAATTAAAGCTGATTAACTGATAATCAAAATGTTATTGTAGTATGTGCAATGAAACCTTACGGTTCTTTGACTTTGTTGGATGAGGAAAACGTGAGCTGTCAATCATCGATAATGGCGGTCGTGTGTAGATTGCAATTATTTCGTTTCACGTAAAACAGACTTCGGCTTTCAGAAACATAAAACATAAAAACAAGTTCGTTTATTGTTTGATAAAACAAAACAAAATAGAACAAGCAGTGTTAATCTTTTATTAGCGGTCTCAACAATCGCCTATCAATTAAATAAAATAAAAGACAACTATCAGCCTCACATAAAACGAAAATAAAAACAGCTAATATCACACAAATTTTCAACAGTTTTTTAATTACCAAACCGAGTCCGAAACGTCGTCAAACCGTCGTCAAACTGAGTTCGAAACGTCGTCTATGTTGAGTCCGAAATAACCGAAATGTCGTGCTACCATTAGCAGACGGTCGATTAGATCACAGAAAATCAAGGACCACTGTTACAACGGTAAATAGTAGAACTCTCAAGCACTATTTTGTCGGCATGCCAAGACAGGACAGGTGGGCGCTATTGCATTTTCGACTGACTTCCGATACTTGAGCTTTTGAGGGAGTATCAATTCTTCCCGTTCAATCAAATCTCTCGTAAGTACAGCAACATGACATCCCTTCGTTTAATCGGGGGTCTTCCCTAAAACTTTTGACAGTGATTTAAGGCATTAAAAACGGTGAAAGTATTGTTCGGCTCCAAACAGCATTGTTTACATTGTAACCATTTTTGATAGTCTCGTTTGTCACGCAATTATTTTTTTCTGCAATATTCTGCTATGCACTGGTTAATTGGGAGTAATAAATTTCGTGAGTCACGACGTAAAATTATGTAAACAGATTTGGAGCACTGTTAAAACCCGAATGATATTGTTACGCCATTAGGTATTGGTTGTTAATCGGACTATTGACAAGTCATAATTTGGAATAGAAATTTGCTTTCATTACGGCTGTGTTGAGTTGGATTAGGGCTAATCAAACGATACACTGCGAGGAGTATGGCTTCAATAAGCATGGTCATCTTGGTTCAGTTATTGACGTGTGAGTTCTCCGGCACTTATATTATCTTGCCTGGTTTATTGCTAAATGATAAGGCCAGCTCAATTTTTCGCCATAGGTCACGAGATGTAAACAGTGCTAGCTTAACAAATTTTGTTCAAATTCAGCATATCAAAATCATTCCAATAACAGGGTTGTACCTATTTATTTTGTTACATATCCAATCCCCAGGGGGAGAGTCAAGTCCAATTTTTATACGCCCACATTTTCATGTGGACGTATTATGCCGTTGCCCCTGTCCGTCCGGATGGCCGTCCGTCCGTCCACAATTTGTTTGTGGACACTCTACAGGTCACAATTCTTGTCCGATTTTGACGAAACTTGAAATATAGGTTTATCTCCAAAAGATCTCGGCTGCTTTCGATATTGGCATGTATCGGATCGAAACTTCATGGATTATGGCCCCTGTTTGTACGAAAAATCACGTTTTTAGCTTGTGGACCCTATAGAGGTCACAATTTTTATCCGATTTTGTTGAAACTTGGAATGTAAGTTTATAACCCAAAGATTTCGATTCCTTTCGATATTCGCTCATATCGGACCGTAACTTCCTGAATTATGGCCCCCGATTGTACGAAAAATCGCGTTTTTAGCTTGTGGACCCTATAGAGGTCATAATTTTTATCCAATTTAAAAAAACGTATTATTATATCACCGTTACACCCTAAGGACGACTGAGTTCGAATTTCGCGAAAATCGGCCCAAAATTGACAGACAAAATGGCTGCCGTTCGTTCTCAAATAGCGTAAGAATATGGTATATCAAGGTTGTGGACCCTATAGAGGTCACAATTTTTATCCGATTTTGTTGAAACTTGAAATGTAAGTTTATAACCCAAAGATCTCGGTTCCTTTCAATATTCGCGCATATCGGACCGTAACTTCCTGAATTATGACCCCTGATTGTACGAAAAATCGCGTTTTTAGCTTGTGGACCCTATAAAGGTCATAATTTTTATTTGATTTAAAAAAAACGTATCATTATATCACCCTTACACCCTAAGGATAGCTGAGTTCGAATTTCGCGAAAATCGGCCCAAAATTGACAGACAAAATGGCTGCCGTTCGTTCTCAAATAGCGTAAAAATAATATGGTATATCAAGCTTGTGGACCCTATAGAGGTCATATTTTTTATCCGATTTTGGTGAAACTTGAAATGTAAGTTTATAACCCAAAGATCTCGGTTCCTTTCGATATTCGCGCATATGGCCCTTGATTGTAGGAAAAATCACTTTCTTGTTAGCTTGTTCTCTATCCATCTCTCGAAAATGTGGGCGTATCCTGCCTGGCAGCCGCTGGTTGTGTTTATCGTCTACAGGTTGCAATTCTGAACAGATCATCTTTACTTGGAACTTTGCATATTTGTTCCTTATACCACAAAGACGGCAACTATTTATTTTGATGCATGCCCCGATGTCTCGAGATCTGGTGATTTAGATATGGTTAATGCACGCTTTCTTTAAAATGGCTCTTATGTTCTTGCAGGCAGTTTAACCTATATCTTTAATTTGTGTATAAAATTCAATTATTTTCCTAAAGAATTTAAAAATGCTAAAGTATTACCTGTTCACAAATAATTACAGACCAATTTCCGTATTACCGTCAATATCCACAATTTTTTTTTATATATTTAAATAACCATAATTTACTTTATTAATCAATCAGGATTCAGAAGAAATAACTCGTGTCTAACCGTTATGACTAACATAACACAACACGTTTATAATGCTCTAAATAATAATGAATTGTGTGGTGCTATATGTTTCTGATAACTTCCTGAACTTAATTCGTTTTTACCTGGACCACCGACAACACTGTACTTTCGCAAACGGACAATACCATCAACTTCTGCCAATTACTCAATGTATTCCACAGGGATCTATCTTAGGACCATTATTATTTAATATTTTCATAAATGATCTCCCTCTCCATTTAGAGTTATTCTGTGATTTGTTTGAGGATGATACAGCAGTTTATTCGTCAGCTATCAATTTAAATGATCTCCAAATTAAACGAAAACGTGATACTGATATTTTACTCAACTGGTGTGACCACAATTCGATGATTGTCAACAAATTAAAAACCAAAGAAAAGAAAGCGACTTCTGACACCAGATTTATTGATAAATCTTAACGACCCTGCAATTGAAAATGTCCCAACGTTTAAATAGCTTGGTGTTCAGGTTGATAATCACCTGCAATGCAATGATCACGCAAATTATATCTCAAAAATTACCAATCAAAAAATATTTCAGTTAAGTAAACTGAAAGAATCCCTTCCATGTAAATTCCGAACGTTATTTTATAAATCTTATATTCAGCTCTATCTCGGCTACTGTTCACCTATATGGGAAAACTGCGATATAATATATAATACCTCTTAATATCCTCCAACGACAGCAAAACCGAGCATTCAAACTTGTATAATACTATTCATACCTATCTTCGCGCAAATATAGTTCACATTTATATATGTATATATTTTGTATAATTCTATTCATACCTCTCATACAGACCCGTAGCTAGTGAGGGGGCAAGGGTGGCAGCTGCCCCCTCCCCACCCGAACAATTCGACACCCTTTGCCCATTGGGGAAAAAATCGGCTCCCCCAATGGGCGCCGAAGGCGGCCTTTCCATTGGACGCAATACGAAGCCAATGACCAACGTGCCCATACCAGTATGGGCGCCACATAAAGCGGAGTGACATTGGTTGGGCGCCCACGACGAGATTGACGGGTCGCCCAACCAATGTCACTTGGTTTTATGGGCGCCTCGCCAATCATGTTGTTATATGAGAGGCGCCTCACCACACGATTAACATCATAACTTGATTGATGGGGCGCCCAAAACGGCTTGATCTGTGGGGTGCCTTATCCCGGAGGGGCGCCCATAACATGATTGGTAGGGCGTCTTATAATGACAATCTATGATTGTCGGGCCGCACATAACGCATAATACCGAGTACGATTGGTTGGGCGCCCACGACTTGATCAATGGGTCGCCCAAAACGGCATGACGGGTCGCCCAACCAATGTCACTTGGTTTTAGGGGCGCCTCGCCAATCATGTTGTTATATGAGAGGCGCCTCACCACACGCTTAACATCATAACTTGATTGATGGGGCGCCCAAAACGGCTTGATCTGTGGGGTGCCTTATCCCGGAGGGGCGCCCATAACATGATTGGTAGGGCGTCTTATAATGACAATCTATGATTGTCGGGCCGCACATAACGCATAATACCGAGTACGATCGGTTGGGCGCCCACGACTTGA